TGGGGGATTTGTTCTGTGAAGTTTAGATTCAGTCAAAGGGCTGCACTTGAGGACCTAGAGGGCCACATGTGGCCTTGAGGTCACAGGTTCCCCATCCCTGGTTTATACTTAATTCACAAACTGTGTTTCTACTGTGCACAACAAATAAAAGATATAATTCTTCAAGTTCATTACAAGTGTCAGTGAAATAGGAGAAACACTTGAAAAGTAACAATACAATAATTTTTCAAGTGGTTCAAGATGATACCACAGAAGTCATATGGCATGGTAAAAAGAGGACAAAACTGGAAAAGAAGATACAGAAGTTCTAGCCTCAGTTCTGCCTGTAATTAAGCTCTGTCACAAGTCTTCTCATTTATAAAATAAGGGAGGTTAAACTACATGATCTCCAAGGTTCCTTCCAGTTGTAACAATCTATTTTCTAATATTCTATGTTCACCTCCTGCTCCAAGTCTGTGGTTTCAAATCTTACAAGGCAAGTACCTGATTAAGTACCAAAAAGCAGAACAGACCATATTAGCTAAAGCAATCTGAGGAAAGATCACTGCAGCACTAGAAAGTAAGAGAGGGCTCAAGGTGGAGGGTGGGTTTGGGCCAGACCCTGGAGGACAGGCAAAATTCAGATAAACAGAGAAGTGGAGACTACAGACAGGGTGGCTTCTGGGAAAAAACTTTTAGGGAGACTCTAGAACCCCAAGAGTGTACAGACAAAAAAGAGGTAAGTCTATACAAGGCACAATTAGAAAAAACAGCATGGCTGCTGCAAGAGGCTATCAAAAATGACCAAAAAGCTGTATTCTTTTAAAATCATGATGTAAATTCATTAAATTTTCTTTTCAAATTGACTGATGACCATACTTAAGAAAAATGCTCTTTGATTTAAGAACACACGCATCAATCTGGGTAGCATTTTTCACAGTATTTTCCTTTCATGTATTATGTAGCTATAAAGGCTTTTTCTCTTAGACAGATCAGTAACATGCTTCAGTATTATTCACCAAGGTTGTGTTCAATACCTTCAGTCATGCCAACGAACACTGATGATGTGCTCTTTATTAACAACAACTCTTGATGGCTTTTTAGCAAGGCTGTCGATAATACAATTCAAAGCCATTTGAGAAAGTAATATATGTGTCTCTTCCTTTGTATGCTTTTTCATTTGGACTGCCTATTATGGATTTTTTGAATAGGGAATCATACTTTCCCAAAATAGGCAAGAATGTAAGAAACATCCCCCAGTACATTGTTGTATTGCTTCAACTTGATGCTGACTCATTCGCTCCAACATTACTATGCCTTTCTTTGCCAATAGTTTGAATTAACATTACTCACTCATTCTTAAACTGTACTTTGCTTAATTTATTCTACTGTCCTGAAATTCTAGTTGTAAAACAGAGAGGTGAGTAACTGCACCTCCAAGTGTTTTCATCATAGAGCAACCAGTACAGTAAAATAATTTTATAGCTTAAATGCTCCTCTACTCAATACACATCTCTGCATCCAACTTGCTCTGAACAAATGCTCTCTCTAATAAAATGTTAAGCATATACTGAACAAGCAGCCTACAGAAGAAAGTTAACACCAGGGCACCATTTTATACCACTATGATGACATACAGATTTTCTATTTTGAGGCAAAATGTTGAAGAAGATGCTACTTTTAAAAGCATTCCAATTTGTTAACCTAGGATACAAAAAAAAAATCTAATCCAGGGTGATTCCCTGGCTCTAAGCCTACATATTTTCATCTGATAGTAAATGAGATAAATCTACATTCATATTACACTCTTGCCTACTAGTTATTTGGTTCGAAGAAGGAAGGATATAGTAAGAGAAGGAAGAATTTATTAAGTGCCTACTATGTGCCAGATACTGCGCTAAGTGCTTTATAAACACCCTCTCATTTTGTTTTCACTATAACCCTGGGAGGTAGGTGTTACTAGTATCTCCAGCTGACAGTTGGGAAAACTGAGACAGACAGAAGTGATGTGACTTGTCCATGGTCACACAGCTAGTCAAGTGCTGGAGTTCAGATATCAACTCAGGTCTTCCTAACTCCAGGCCAAGTGTTCTATCCACTATGCCGCTAGCTGCCTCTAAGTGAGAGTAAGTGTCTGCAACATGGGCAAACTGGCCTATAGCAGCTATTCCTTGAAGCACGTACAGATATTCCTTGTCTTGTTCCAGTCCACCATGTGGAAGCTGGTGGGGAGAAGGCGGAAGGGGGGAAACCTACTTCTGGCTTGTACTGTTTGATGATGAAAAGTCCCTTAAATGGCTCCTCAGCCTGAAGAATTGATAAATCAAGGAATACACAAAAGGGAATTACTAAGATATCCAACTCTCTTTTCCTTTTTTTGCCCCACTGCGAAACATGTGGACTATTTCAAGCTAGTCCTAAGAGGCAGGTTAGGGAGAAGGTGGCTGCCCTGTCTCCCACTTAGCTTCCATGTGGCCATGAGCACATGGTAACCTCTGCTTCTTTTTCATTTGTTCTTCCCTGATCTTAAGCAAATGAGTATCCCATGGTGGATATGTCTTGGACTTGTGATGACATTGTGAGCTCTGAAAGGTCCAGACATTCCAGGAGTCCTGCAAGGTTTTGGTGTCCTGGAGTGCCAACTGATCAATAGAGGAGAGTACAAGAACAGTTACAACAGTCAACACTCATTTGTTAAGCACTTATTATGTGCCAGGCACCCTGCTAAGTGCTAGGGATATGAAGAAAAGCAAAAGCAGTCTCTGCTAGCATTCTAATAGAGGAGACAACATGCAAACCACGATGGGATTTGGCATGGCATGAGTGGAACCTGATAGAAGGCACAGAACCTGATAGAAGAAATTAATGTAGAGTTGAAGTGGTTCGACAAGGGATCAAGATGGGGAAGGGAAAAGAGTGTAACCAAAAGACGAAAGATGGCTTGAGAAATAACTGGAGGGACTAGAGGTCACAGTGAGAAGCAAGAACACGGTTATAAATTGTAAGGCAGAGGGAAAGAGAAAATGATAAAAGATGATGATGAGATAAAGGAATTTGATTCAAAGAGAACAGTTGTGGTTAATGGCAAGATCAAGGGCAGCTGAGATAGGGTAGAGTAGCTTATGGGAAATAAGTAAATTGAGGAACCGGGAAGTTAGGGTATTTGAGGGAGTATGGTGAAATTCCTGTAGTATGAGGGCAGGAGTTAGAGAATAGAGAAAGACTGAGGCAGACACTGTACTCACTGAGGAAGGAAGGTCAGTTTCCTGAAGTCAGAATTTTGCTTGGATGGTAGATACGGATTTAGTGAATCTCAAAGGAGTAGAGGTTACTGAGTGATGGCAATAGTGGTAGAGCTTGAAAGTGACAGTGGGAAACAAGAAGTATTTCTACTCCCCACACTACAAACATCAAGGAGGGGGGAGGGTAGGGAAGTGGCATGGTAATGAAGGGGCAACCAGTGCTGAAATGGGTGGACAGGGATGTTATGCCATCTGGATGGGGAGTCAAGTGTCAGTGAGTTCAAAAAGATGGAAGGAGCCTCTTACTGACATATTTTCAATACTAATGATAAGAAATAATTCCTATACTTTTTTGCCTCTTTGTCAATTTGGTGGACTTTTCTTTTTTTTCGTTCATTTTACTCTCTCCCTCACAGAACTACCCTCTTTTCTCAGTAGCCAGCTTCCATGGAAGCTTCTTAACTTGCCAATGTATGCCTCATCTCACTCCCTGCTACTCTGCCCCCACCACTATAAGGTTAACCCTGTGCTTGGGATATTGCTGTTGCTGCTATGGCCTACATCTTTACATAGAACATTCCAGATTACCTTTCACAGCTAGCTCCTTATTTAGCACTTTTTAAACTGTGGGTCAAGAGTGGAAAAAGTTTAAGAAGCCCTGAAAGGTAACCTCCCACTCTACCTAAAACTGTTCCACTATTTAATGTTTCTGTGTGCTTTTGCCTTTATATATTTATCATCTCATTTTCCCTGTCTAGAATGCTCTCCCTCCCATTTCTCCAAACCTTCCCATTACTTCAGAACCCAAATCAAATCAAGTCCCACCTCTCTAGGAAGGCTTCCTTGAAAACACTAGCCCACAAAGTTCCTTCCCTCCCCTGAATTCCAGCAGGCAATAAATACAACTTTGACGTTTATCATATACACCCCATTACTGTCCCTTAGCTTTATGTGTCAATCAATATATCAAACAATGAGCATTTAGTAAGCACCTGCCAAGGTCCATTAGGCCTCTCCATCTGCCTTACAACTCTACCCACCAGAACCCCTAAACAGTGCCTGATCTTTCCATCTGCCACAAAACCAAACCCTCTTTTATAGAGTGTCTTGCCCAATCGGAATCTAAGCTCTGTAAGAACAAGAACTGCCTCAGTTTTCTATCTGTATCTACAACACTAAACACAGTACTTGGGTACGCAGTCAGCATTTAACAAATGTTTTTCCATTCCATCCCACTCTCTATGTGCCAGCCTCCGTGTTAGGTGCTAGGGATACAAAAACACAAGCAAAAAGAGCTGACCACCTAGCAGGGAATATAATGTGTACATATAGGTACATACAAAAAAGATACACGGTAAATTGGACCTGAAATGCACTAGCAGCCAGGGAGGTCGGGGAAAGGGGTGGTGTTGAAAGTGGCTTAGCCTTAAAGGAAGCTAGGGATTTTGCAAGATGGATATGAGGAAATGAAGGTGAGGAGGGAATCTCTTGCCCCAACTAAACTGTAAGCTCTTTAAAGGCAGAACCCTATGACCTCAACCTCTTTGCATCTCCAGTACTAGGTTAGAATGAGTGACTTGTAGGCATCAACATTACAGTCACTGAGGTGAGAGAGGACAGCACCCAAGAACAAGGTAGGCGGGTAGGTGGGGAGCCCTGACCTCTGCTGTTTGGAAATCACCAAAGGAATGGCATTTTGGGCAACAGCAGATGTCCCTCCTAATTTCTACCCAAAGGCCCAGTAGGGGAACACATTTCTACCCAGGAAACTCTTCTTACCTATGGTCTCTCTCTCTGTTCCACACAGCAACCAGAAGCCTCTTCTGCTCATCTGCCTCTTGGATGGGACTGTAAAGTAAGTCAAAGGCATCAAGAGCCTTCATAGTTGACACAGGACCCCAGGATGAATCAAATAAATATTATTACCATTAAGTCATCTTTATACACATTGTCCAATTGCAACCATCTGCTGAGGAGCTCTAGGTAAAACTCCTTTGTCTTTGGAAACCAGCCACTACACAAAAAACTTTTCTTCCCAAGTTATCTGTGCTATATAAGCTTAGAGAGGAAGCCCTGGCCACTCCTCTTAGCTTGTTAAACTCAAACCCCAGAGATAAAGATTTCAGCAAAGGATAGACCCCCAGAAAGGGGAGAAGTTCTACCTGAATAAAGTACTGGTAAATTAACTCGTACGGTTAAAAAACCTCAAAGAGTTATAAAACCGACATGGGCTACGCTACCAAAGCACCGTGACCAAGCCTAACTTGGGAGAAAAAATGCAGAGACCCATGGAAGGGAAATCAAGTCTAAAGGTATATATACACTCTCCTGTTTGTCTGAGAAGGATGTTCCATCACAAAACAGAGCACCCAAGACTTCTTTCACCTAACGACAAGGGCCCAGAAATCAGAACAGAGGGAAAAGAGATCTCATTCTAAATACTTTTTATATGCCAAAAGGCCCACCAACGAATATCTTAGCTTGAAAGATTCCTTCATGGTTAACTTCAGTAATTGCTTCAGCAATGCTTAGGCCAGTGTTCCTTCAAGCAAAATTTTATACTGAGGCCTTTATATCATCCCACTTGACCTAGAAGAGCTCTCATTCTGCACCTAAAACTCACTCTCTCCAGAGGCTAAAGGTGGCTAAGCTTCCAGTTCTAGTCCTAAGTCTAAGGCATTTCAATTATGAGTAATAGCTAAATCACATCTAGCACACTGATTCTACTGCCATATATCAGGTATTGTGCCAGATCTACAAGGAAAAAAGCATGGAAAAAACATAGATGGCCTTTGGAAATAAGCATGTTTTCAGTTGGATTGCTTAAATTACCATTTTGCTTTTCCACCAAAGAAATGAAGGGCAGGATGGGACTGAGTTATACTACAATAGATTTACTTACAAGAAAAAATGTTCATGGAAAGCTGGATTTTTACAGTCTGGGATGGTCTGAGTTTTCTGTCTCCGTTTTCGATCATTATCAGGTACCACAGACACCTTGAAATGGAGACAAACTTGTATTAGCTAATCGTACCCACTCTCAAATCAGATGCAGCTTGTTACCAACCACTGCAATTATCATTAATCAGCTTTGCTCACCAGCTCTAAGTTGCAAAACAAAAAATTCAAACAGCAGCCAAATATTAAAAGCCTTCCCAGTGGTATCTCTTATCTCTTTCAAGAGTGACTCCCGCCATCAAACTGATCAAAAGGTACATAAAGGTATCACTTCTTAAAGTTAAAGGTAGCTCTCAGAAAAGCCAGTGCAGGGCCTTAGGATGTTATAGAGAAGACAGACCCAGACGATGCTAGAAACAATTGTTCCCAAAGAATGGACAAGACTTCTAGACTCCTGGTTAGGCCTTCAGGCAAAATTGACTTTTTAAAAAAAAAATACAATTATCTATTTTCACTATTTATAACCACTCAATTAGAGGAATACATAACTCAAGATGGCTCCTCAAAAGGTTTCAAGTCAAAGAGAAGCCTGAGATGAGTCAGGATGGCCTTGACTCTTAGTTCAAATTCTACTTTTTAGTCTTCTTAACCAAACCAGGAAAAATGAAGTTCTTAATTTGTTCTCCAGATCTTCCAACAAGGAATTCACCCCTGAACTTTTACAACTGTCCAGAGCGACAGTGAACAGTCAGAAAGCACAGAAGTATCTATCACCATTCTGTCTGATGCCTAGTTCAAGGACCACACCTCTACTCTGTTCCTGAGTCCAGACTCATGACTCAGGTATGAACTAATTTAATACTCTTTTTAATCTTTACTATTATGGGTACTCATTTTACCAACCCAGATCACAATCTCTCCATCCCTCAGTAGACAATTCATGAGTTACAATAACCAAAACATTCATCATCAGATAGTCAACTTCCTGGTGATGAGACTTTGAACTTTGTTAGGCTGACAGATCATTGCTAGACCCAGATTCAAAGCATTTCTAGCTTTGTAGGACCTGTAAGAGTTTACATTCCCTGGCAGGACCTAGAAGGTTTGTCCTCCTGTGGTACAGGCTTCAAGACCTAAAGTCACCTCTGCATCACGTGTAATGGACAAGGTCTCCAATGGGAAAAGAGGAAAGGGGATCTTCTTACTTCCTACCACTAGCCATCCTGGAAAAGGCAAGCACCTGCATCTGGCAGACCCCACCTAAGTTCATCAGCTAGCAGGAACCACTGCCTACCCTCCTCCTCCTCAATGCTCTCTGCTCCCCTCTACCAGCCACCCAGGTGAAGGATCAGACCCATGCCCAACCCAGCTCCTTCTCCAACATCCCTTGGAGACTGAGCTATCTTACCCAATGGCCCACTATTTCCCCTATGGCTTCTGTTGTTTCTTTCCCTATCCTTGTAAGAGCCATTTAGGAGAAAAATGTCCCCAGCCACTTCCTCATGTTATTTCATCCCCATTCCCCTCAATTCTTCCCCACCCATGTCCCATCCAAACTTTACCAACCCTTTACATTGTACCCTCTGGAATTCTTATTCCATAAAGAACAAACTCCTCTTTATCCTGGCCCTCTTTGTATCACACTCTTTCCATGTGTTAGACCTCACCAAGACCTGGGTCCCTCCTGATGACATAATATCCTTACCTAGCTATCATCTCCAGCTGACTGTACCTTCTCACATCTACTGTCACATTCGTCTTATAAGTAGAGATCAAAATATTTCTTCCTCCCCATTGTCACTTCCAGACCCTCACTTTACCTCCTTCACTCTTCCTCCTTTCAAGTCCACTCCATCAAAATTTCCCACTCAATCAAAATTATGTTCTTTCTCATGAAGTCCAGCACCCAGCTTACTGTCTGCCTCTACTCCCTAATACAGGGCTTTCCTACTTATGCAAATATGTTTCAACCACCTTGAGTCTCATTACATACTCCTTCAATCCACCTCAAATAATTGAGGCCATCTGATGAGTGCCTCTGCTCCTATTCTCTTCCTCTCTTTTCATCAAAACCCCTTGACATTATCTCCCACTCTCTCCTCCTTTGCTCTACACTCTGACAAAGAAGTGGTCTTTCTTCTTGCCAAAACCAACCTTTCTCCATGTACATTTGATCCTATCTTCTCCCTAAGATTACATACTTAATCATTTCCTTTTCTTGAATCTTCAACTTCTCTCTATTAACTGGCTCCTTCCTTTTAAACACACAATTTTCCAATTCTTAAAAAAAAAATTCACTAGAATCTAACACCCCCTTAAATTTTCTCCTCCCTTTCTCAGCCAGATTCCTTGAAAGAGTTGTATGTACTCACCAACTTCATTTCCTCTCTTCTCACTCCTTAATTCTTTGTAGTCCAGGTTGCAACCTCATCATTTACCTGAAACTGCTCTCTCCAAAGTGACTAATGATCTCTTAATTGTCACACCTGGTGCTCCTTTTTCTCAGTCTTCATCCTTAATCAGCTGCATTTGCCACTGTTGACCCCCCCCATTTGGATATCTCCCCTCTAGGTTTTTGTTACACTCCTCTCTTCTGGTTTGCCTCCTGTTTGTCTGAGCAAAGTCTCCTTTGCTGACCCACCATCCATCTCACATCTCCTTTAGTTTGTTCCTTAAGATTCTGTCCTAGGTCCTCTATATCCTTTCTCTTGCTAACTCCAACTCCCATGAGTTTAATTATCATTGCTTACAGATGAGCCCAAGATCTATCTATCCAACGTGAGTGTTTCCCCCTGAACTTCAGTCCCACATCACCAGTTGCCTATTGGACATCCCAAACTGTATGTCCTAGAAACAGCTTAAACTCAATAAGTCTAAAGTGAAATTCATTATCTTTCCTCCTAATCACTCCTCTTCCAAATTTCCCTGTTTCTGTCAAAGGCACCATCATCCTTCCACTCCTCAGACTTTATACTGGACTCTTTACTCTCCCTCAATCTCCACATCCAAGTAGTTGCGAAATCTTTCCATATCTACCTTTACAACATCTCCCATATAAGACCCCACACAACTAGGACCTTAGGTGAGGTCCTCATCATCTCTCACCTAGATTGTTGCAAGAGACTTTTATTTGTTCTCCCTGACTCAAGTCTCTCTCCACTCTAGGCCATCCTACAAACTGCTGCCAAAGTAATTTTCCTTAAGTGCAGATCTGATGGTGACTTTCCTCCTCAACCAACCACAGTGACTTCTTATTGCCACTAAGACAAACTATAAACATCTCTGTTCAGTTTTTAAAGTCCTACACAACCTGGCCCCAAACCCATTTCCACTATTCACTAGACATTACTTCACTTCCACATTCTACCATCCAGCTCAACTAGCCTTCTCTTCTTTCCTCACACATATAACACTCCATCTTCTGTCTCTATGCCCTGCACTGGCCATACCCCATGCCTGGAATGCACTCTCTAATTACCTCTGCCTAATAGTCCCTTTCTTTCTTCAAGATACAGTTGAAGCACCATCTTCTGCATGAAACCTTTCTTGAACCTGCCAAATGATAATGCCCTCCTCCCTCCCAAACTAGCTTATATGTAACCATTTTGAATATATTTGTATTTATTAACTTTATATCAATGTTCTACAATGTTATATTAATTTAATGAAGTACAAGAAAAGGTACTTCGTTTATTTTAAATTAAATGTACCCTCATTCAAACGTAAGTTTGCTCAGAATAGGATTAATTCTTTGTATTGTATCCCCCACTACCTAAAACAGTGCCTGGCACACAGTAGGTACTAAACAAATCCTTGATCATTTGATCAATTGAGAGAGGGGATTGAAGAAGAGAATGTTGAGACAGAGACAAGCAATTTATTATTCAACTACTATGTTGTGCCTCTGTCAGGCACAAGGGATATAAATCCAATACATGCAAGAATCCCTACTCACAAAGAGCTTTTCTAATAGGGAGACAACAAGGACATATTTAAGCATATACAAAATAAGTTTCATCTTGAAGGAAGAAAAGGGACTCTGTGAGGCAAAAGTTAAGAGGGAGTTATGTGCCAGAGATGGAGCACAACATAGTAGTTCAGGCAAAAGGTGATAAAGGCCTGAACTAAAGTGGTGGCTATGTGAGTAGAAAGGAGGGGACAGATGCAAGAAACATTGTGAAGAGAGAAATAAGAGTGAAGAGTCAAAGATAACACTGAAATTGTAAACCTGAAACCGTAAGGACGGTGGTGCCCTTGAAAGTAATGGGTTCGAAGGGAAAGATAACGTAAAGAAATCTATCTACTCACACTTACTCATTCTGGGCAACTTACTGTCCCATTCAAAAACAAAAATTAGAACTGGCGCTCTTACTCACCAATCACTAATCTGGATCATAGAGCCATCACTGGAGGGGCACCTGCCACAAGCATGAGGTAGGTATCCTGCAGGAGAAGGTAACTTTCCCAATGGCATCTATACAGCTGCTGCTGTGAATGCCCAGGTATTCACAGTTGAGTTTCACTTCAGAAGGAAGAGGATGGGAACTCGAATAGCAAAGGGAGGGGGATGATTTAAGGACTGTTGGAGGGCAATTGTAGGTATGCTTGTGTTGGAGACAAATTTCCCAGGTGGCTGTCACAGGGAAAGTGGAATGTAACCCATCTTTCCACCCTCTAACTGGAGTATGTACTCCTTTGGGTCAGGCCATATTCTCAGTTTGGAGACCACTAATCTAAAGGCTGATTAAACAGGCCTTAGAATTCTCCTCTTCTCTCCTACTACCTAAATTTTAGCCAGTTTGAATTGATAATTCTAGTTAAAGATTCTAGTTAAAGATAACTGAAGCTGCTACTAAAAAAAAATAGTCTTGGATTTTATGTGAATTTTTTTTTTAGGCAATTGGGGTTAAGTGACTTGCCCAGGGTCACACAGCTAGTAAATGTCAAGTGTTTGGTCTGAGGCCGGATTTGAATGCAGGTCCTCCTGACTTCAGGGCCGGTGCTCTATCCACTGTGCCACCTAGCTGCCCCAATTTTATGTGAATTTTAAATATCCGTGTTCTATCATTCATTAGTGTTACTGAGAGATGGTTATAACTCTAAGCTATGAACTGATGAAATGAAATAATGGATGTAAAAACATTCTCTAACTATACAAAGTACTATGTACATGTGAGCTATGTCTGCTGACATAATGGAATGGCAACCAGTCAAGATGAAGGAAATGGAGATATTCTAGCACAGGGTATGATATACAGTAGGTACTCAAATAAATACTTGTGCTGACTAAACCCTAACAGCCAAAGCCCGGAAATAGATTCTATTTCTAAATGCCCTAAGAGCACTGAAATAGGGGAGTCATGTTAGATGGCATCCTTCTCACCTACCCCCACCATTACATACCTTCACATAAGCATCACAAGGTCGAGAGTCTTTGGTCATGAGATCTCTGGCTTCTATGACTAAAGAAAAGTACATAGTTGATAAAAGGATTAATAATGGAAAATGCTTATGCCCCTTTATCTGCAAGATTCCCTCCTTTCCTTTGAGATATTATCCTTTTCCTCAAATCTGTCACAGCCCTCCTTCCCCTTCCCTGGCACCACCCACGCCAAATCATGATGAAATGAAGAAGCACAAACTAGATCAAGCAGATAAGGCTAACCCTGTCAGGTAACCACGTATGAATCTGAAGAAGAGTATCTGGAGAGACAGAGGCAGTCATGGAACCAAGCCCTGGCTTTTGTAGCAAAAGCCTAAAAGAAATCCAATAGTAAGCCTCGAGTAACCAGAATCCATTTTGCTGTTCATTTCCACTCTCTATTGGGTTTCAGCTGGAGGATGAAGGCAAACTCTGCATGAGTTTATTGCAGGCTGGGCCTTGTATTCTTAGCCTAAGGCCCTACAAAGCAAGACAAAGGAGAGAGAATGACCATAAAGGAGAAGGAATGACCATGAAGGACAGAAACACATGTGGAAACATAGGTGGAGCCAAAGAAAAAAATTCCAATACAAATAAAGGGACTTATGCTGTCAATTTTTTAAAAAATTGTTTGCACAGTCAGAGTGGGGTCTGTGACTGAAAAAACTCTTTCCCCTGGTCCTTGAGAACACTCGTAAGCAGAAAGTCAAGAAATAAAGAGCAAGAAGAAGAGGGCTAGGAGAGGCCCTTCCAATGTATGCTTGCTTTAAGGCATTCTAGAATATTGCAGGCAGAGAACACTGCCCTACGGGGTGTAAAGCTGCCCTATCTGAGCAAAATGGCCTGGAATAGGAGCCGAATACATATACGAGACAGAAGCAGAGAAAATGCCTTACAAAAGGTCTCACGTAAAAGCCACACTTGTTAAAAACCAACAGAACACTCTGCAAAGAAAAGGGTAATTGTTTGCAAGCAATGGAAGTGATTTGCCTAGCCCTTACTGGATGAGATGTGTGAAAACATACTTACTGTGAAGAAGCAAAACTCGGTCTTGTTTATCTATTGACAGTTTCAACTGACCTAAGGAGAAAACACAAGCAATCTATTTTATCCCACGTATAATCCAAAAATCAAATGGCTAGTAATAGATGTGATTTGTTTTTATCAAACAGTTCCAAAGCATAATGCATCCAAGGAATCAAGACCCACATATGACTTCCTAAGCAGTTCCCGCTGAAGACTTCCACCAAGGGATAGCAATAATAAGGCAAAATCAAAGAAGAACCTCGATCTCACAACCAGAGAGAGAAGAATAGAAGGAAACAGTGTTGCAGAACAGCGCATCAACTAGCTATGGGAATCAAGTCCTTTCTGCACCTTGATTCCATGGGTCAGGTTCCAGTCTGTCCTTCCTATATCCCCCTGAAAAATGCTCAGATTCTAAATTCTCTATTTTCTATACAATGAAGACAGTATCATCTTCTACTGCAGGATTTGAGTGCAAAAATCACAGCCAAAAACAAAGGTTTTTTGCAACTGATAAAACTCAATGAGCCTGGAACCCCTTGGAATCTAAGCCAAGGCCCCCGATGGCCTCTTGACCCCTCCATGTTAGATACATCTCCCATTTGAAGAATAAAGTACATTCCTATGGTCGACGGCTGATAAATGTTGAGTGAACAAATGGATGCATCTATGATTTCAAACTACAGTCCTAGCACATTCTGAACATAACAAACCTATTCAGCTCTCAAATCAATCTAATTTCCCTCCTGCCCATGACAATCCAGGGCCAGAATGATCCAAAGCATCTCTGGTCTCAGTACTGGCCCTAGGATGAATGTCAAGGAGCAGTCCCAAGGACTCCACTACTCACCCACTTACTGGTCCAACCACTTCCTCCTCTCTGGCCCTCAATTTCCATTGGTATGTAATAGACATAATAATACTGGTTACTTTACCCCCAGGGGATTAATCAGATAATACTAAAGGGTACTCTAAGCTATTTGGATGAAAGGTATCACAAAAGTCCACGGTGTTATTATCTGAAGGTATAGGCAATTACTACTTCCCACAGCCAAGACCCTTCAGTTACTGAACAAGGACACAGCAAAAACACAAAATGGTAAAGGTATTATGCTTACTATCCTTAACATTCTGAGCTACAAGAATGGGGGACACTTATGCCTTTTATCCCTTCAACATCATCCTCACCATCCAAGGGTGGACCTATGGTTAACTGGTGGGAAATGACAGGGCAGGGGGCAAGAAAAGAGAAAGAAGCTGATTCTCATTGATTGTAGTAGCTACAGCATTGAAGAGCTATGATGTTATGTTCTACACTTAAAACACGCTCATTGACTAGCTTCCTACCCTGCCCACTTACTTAGTTACTGATGCCTGACAAGTAATGACATACAATGAGCAACATCCCAGCAACATAAGAATACCTCAATTAGATACTTTTATTGCCTCACACAGGATGCCCTCACCAAAGCAAATGAGATAAAGCTCCACCATGCCAGGGCCTCAGACAGCATTTCCAAGGGTGGCAGGTCATAATTTGTCCATTCTCCCTCACATTGTCCCTAATGAAAAGGTATAGTTACAGGCAGGCCACCAGGCAAATGTCTAATTGCCCAAGGAAGGTCCCATGTTAAACGCCCAACAAGACCAGTATATTGCCATGGTATTCCTCTCTGCTCCCCAACCCAAAAGGTTTCATGTTGATCTGGTACTTTGTTAAAATCATTCATTTAACTCCAAACATTACAACTTACCAGAGGTTCTGAGCATAGATTTTGTCAGAAAAAAAAAATAGATACAATCAAAAAATAAGGGTAAGAGTAATCCAAGATATCTAGTATCCATCTATGAAATACCCTCACAGAAACTTCCTGAAAAGTTCATAAGCTTGCTGAGAAAAACTCTTCTCCCCCAAAAATGTTTCATGTGTTTATGAAAAGCAATGTATTTTTAGAAGTCATCAATTGGATCTCTTTAGACCTCTCATAGCCTTCTCCAGTATAAGGAAATTGTCCCAAAACATTAGCAATATAAACCCAGTCCTGGCTGGAACACATCTAAATGTCCAAAGTCAGAGAAACCATTTAGTCAGATTAATAATTAGCACCTAACAATAGTTATTTCTGAGAAACAGAAATAGGGGCCACTAAACCCATACATAAGGACCCCTGTAGGCTGATACTGACTTAGAAAACCACACATGTTTATATTTTTTATTACTCTATCAACACACCAAAGCCAGATAGGAACTGCATTTTAATCTGGTTCAGGACATACTCTGGAGTATTGTGGGCCAAATGTAACCTATGGGCCACACGTTTAACACCTCTGGCTCTAGATAATCACAGATCCATGGCCATGGGAAACACAGCTGCTGCCCTAGCTTTTTTTTTTCTTTGAAAAAAAAAATTTAACTTGCTGAAAGAAATGGAAAATTTGAACCCCGTTGGCTTTTCAAAAATTGATAACATCCAATTTAATTGCTATGGCATGTTTTCAGAAGATAAATGTGGAAATTTTTAACTAGCATTTTGAAGCTGCCTTCTATGAAAAGGATGTAGTTGTTTCATTTCTTTTAAAAGGTTCAATATATCTTTGCTTAGGAGCTAAAAGGCTTGCTGACTTGCTGGGTTCTTTGATGAACAAGTTCTATCATTAATCTCTTGATGCAGCTAAGTTAGTCCAAAGTTACACACTCCAAATTCCAGATCAGTCTTACCTACAGAACATCTTTCCAGGAATATTATTACATGTCTAGGAAAAAAAAAAAGTCCTTTATTGTTGAAGATTTTAGTTGTCACTGAAGGCTGATAGTAGGTGGTACATCCCTGATAGTAAGTGGTACAGCACCTGACTCCCTGGAGTCAGGAGGACCTGAGTTCAAATCCAGCCTCAGACACTTGACACTTACTAGCTATGTGACCCTGGGCAACTCACTTAACCCCACTGCCTAGCCAAAAAAAAAAAATTCATTACACACACATATTCCTGCCAATATGTGCTAGACTTCTGAACCACATGCAACATGCTTACCTGCCAACACTTTCTTGTTAAGACTTGTCAGCAGACTTGACCACTGATCAGTTATAACTTGCATTTTGTGTGTTTATTTGGAAAATAATGTAATCACGATGATTTTAACTATTACATAACAGATGAAACATGTACATTTTTTTTAAGTTTTCTTCTCTTCTCTTTCCTTATGCTTCCCCTTTAATTTTATTCAATGCCTCCCCAATTGCACCTGATGCTACTATCGCCCCTCTACCCAATCATTCCACACCTGGTAGTGGTATTGCTGGGCCAAATGGTATAGACAGCTTAACAACTCTTTGGCCATAATTCCAGACCACTCTCCAAAATGGCTGGATCAGTTTGCAATTCCACTAACAATTAGGGTCTCAATTTTTACACATCCCCTCTAACACTTGTCACCATCCCCCTCAATCATTTTAGCCAATCTAGTAGGTACAAAATATTTCAAAGTTGTTTTAATTTGTATTTCTCCAATCATATTTTGTTTTGATTTCTTCATTGGAAAACTACCTATTCATATGCCTTGACCACTTATCAACTGGGGAATGACTCATTCTCATAGATTTGACAAAGTTCTTTATATAGTTGAGATATGAGACTTTTATCTGAGAAACTGCCCATAAAATTTTTTTCCCAATTTTCTGCTCTCCTGATGTTGGCTACGTTTGTTTTATTTGTACAAAATCCTCTTAATTTGATATAATCTAAATTATCCATTTTATACCTAATTTTCCTATCTCTTGTTTATTCATAAGTTGTTCACCTACCATAAGTCTAATAGGTAATATGTTCCATGTTTTTCTAATTTTCTTGTAATAGCTCTCTATATATCTAGGTCATATATCCATTTTAACATTATCTTGGTAAATGATATAAGATACTGGTCTATGCTCAGTTTCTGCCACACTGTCTTCCAGTTTTCCCAACAACTGCTACCAAATTTGACAAGTGTAAAGACTTATTTTGGGAGATAGGAATTCAACATTTGAATCCCTTCTCTAATAAAAGCAGAATAAACAGGAGGCTTCAACAGGGATGATAATAACACTATAATTCTCTGCTCTCAAGGAGCTTACAATCTAACAGAGGAGCTCAGAGTTCTCTAGTTTTTGCTCCAAAATTGGCAGTTTAGGAGCATTTTACAAATTATGGCAATAGTAATTTTATATTTTAAAACCCTATATATTATAATGATTTTGACCTGTCACATGTTTAATGATGATATTATGCAATTCATTAGAAAGAACCTCACTTTGAAAATGATTATTTTTCCACTATTAAATATATTTTTCAAAGAAAATCAATGTCACATGGCAAATACAATCATTTCAATAAATATACAATGAAGAAATTAACTATTTTGTTACTATTTACTTATTTATTTTTGCTATAAAAATTGACATTTCGGGGGGAACAAAGTCTACCATTCATTATATTGTGTTTGGTTTGGTTTGGTTTTTTTGGCTAGGCAATGGGGTTAAGTGATTTGCCCAAGGTCCCACAGCTAGTAAGTGTTAAGTGTCTGAAGTGTCTGAGGCCGGATTTGAACTCAGGTCCTCCTGACTCCAGGGCTGGTGCTCTATCCACTGTGCCACCTAGCTGCCCCTCCATTCATTATAATGTGAAAGGGTTAATCTAGGCCTACTAAAAATCTCATCATCAAAAAGAACTTATCAAATGCTTATATGCACTTGATGAGAGGCAGTATGGTATAACTAATAGATAACCAACCACAGAGTGAGGAAGACCTGAGCTCGAGTTTTACCTTTGACACAAACTGACTGTGAGACCCTGAGCTTCTCAGTGCCCCCAGATAACTTTCTATATAACTGGCAAAGAAGGTGTCAATTTGCACCGGCAAGAGAAAGTATCTAAAAATGTCCTACACAGATAAACCCATAGATTCAATTTAAAAGAAAAACATACTTAATAGTGTGTTAGATCAAGAAGGGCACAATGGCTGTGCCAAAGAAGTCCAGAACCATCCAGGTTGAAACAGGGCAGGAAGGGCAGGAGTTTTTCAGGGTCTTTTGCCCACTAGGGTCATCAATGTACATTTGCTCAGGATATGTGCCTTTTAGAGACCCTCAGAGCTGGGTTACTACGAAAGGTAGTATGGTTTCTGACTAAATGGAAAATGACCCTCAGGCTCTGCTCTATCCCACTAGGACAATTAAAGCTTCTAGATGAAGTCAATCCCACTGGTAAGCCTATTTCAATAATGTACAATCCTATGTTCAGTCAGTCATTATATTATGCATTTGCTATGTGCCAGGCAATGTGCAGTCTTTGCCTACCTCCAACAATCAGTTTATGCCCTACACCAGTGGTTCTCAAACTACTTTTTGGCCTCAAGATCCCTTTATACTATTAAAAACTAGTTGAGGACCCCACAAAGCTTTTATTTATATTTACCATGTTAAAGATTAAAATATCTTAGTCTTATTACACAAATATTTTGACCTTTCAGACCCCTTGAAAGGGGACCACACTTTGAGAACTAATTGCTGCCCTACACTAAACTGGGGAAACTGTTCAATCTGAGAGCACACTAATTCTCTAGGTCCAGAAGGAGAAATCAGCACATGTACCTTTCAACCACCTTCCAAATGTATTATTAGTCCCAAACCCTCTGCTTCAGGACAAGCCACTGATAGTGAAAAGTACCTCCATGAAAATGATGCCCAAGGCCACTTTTCAGGGTATTTCAAACTCAGATATCAAAGAGGAAGCACCTCCCCCTTTTCAGCATCCATCAATATACTTCACTCTGGTGCTTCTGACAAGGCCACTACATCCCTAGGAAGCAAAACTGGCTCTACGCAGAGACTAGCAGGGCTAGAGTTAGATGCTGAGGACTCAGAATCCCTCACGCTCATCTATGTCCTCCACCTCCCGAATCTATGATTGCTTAATAGGGTTGAATGCTCCTCACAACGCTGGCTACTAAAAACTCCAAAAAATCAAGCCATTGATCAGTCCCAGGGGCTTAGCCCTCTGTTGAGGAATTGTGAAGGGCCTCAAGTTCTCTATGAGATCTAATTGAAGAAAAAGAGCAAGTTTAGCCTGGAGAAGATGTAGGAGGAGCATGTGAACTGACTTCAGGAATTTGAAGAGGATTAAATTTGTTCTACTTGGTCACTGAGAATAGAACTGGGAGTAATGATTTGAATTGCAGAGAGAAATTTAGGCTTAACATAAGGAAAAACTTATTAGCAATAAGAACTATCTATAAATGGGATGGGCTGCCTCAGGAGGCAAGGAGTCCCTCACTCCCCAGGCTTGTTGAGGACGAGGTAGAGGAGTTTCCTTTTCTGGTACTGGCTCCCAAGGTCCCTTCCAACTCTGAAGCTCTGCACATGTCTATCTGTGTTGTTTCTTTCCTCTGTCACCACTGGACAGATGGAAAAGGGACAGCTTATCCCTACAACCTCCCCACAAATGTCCAGTTGCCCTCTAAAGGAATTCAGCACTACTGCTAGCTTCCATGAAGTTTTTTCAACTGACTGTTGCCCCTAATTGTTTTGGGGCTTTTGTTTTAGCTCCAAGCCCTATGGACAGTGGTGGAAAGGCACCTCAGTACCCTACCAATCTCAATCTACCTTCAGAGACAGACTTTTTTCCCTGGCCTCAGCCCGCTCCTTCCCCCATCTGGGATGGTCCCTAAACCAGCTGTACAGAAACAAAGACCTCCTCCTCCACCGGTGAGCTATAGCTTCCAAGACAGAGTCAGCAGACTGCCTCCCTAGCCATTTATTCCCTCTAATTTAGGGAATGGCAAGAAATCCCCCAATTGAGTCAGGAAACCCTGTGTTTTTTCATCTTTTTTAACCGTAAACTTTCCATGAACTGCCAGCTAATAAAGAACATTCTGTATAGCAATTCTGAACTCTGAAAGACTGAACATTGTGCATTATTCCAGCCAAGTGAGGCGGAACCAACCAGATTTGGTGCTAATGAAAGGGCCTTAGCAGTTGATTTTCAACAGTTCAGAATGCCTGGGTGTGTACAATTCTGAGCCCCTTTCCAAGGGAAGAAGCTCAGGAGCAATTGAGAGGGAGTGAACTAGAGAGTGCTGCTAATAAAATCCGGAGCAAGCCACCTATCTGGAGGCTTGGGGATGAGAAATGGAAAAAGGTTCACTTTCATGAGTGTATAGGCCTATGGGACTCGGACTCAGGATCCTGACTGCTCCCTTCTGAGAGCCAATGTGGGTACCCCAGACTCGGGAAAGCACTCACCAAAGCTTGTGAGGTAGAAAGATGAGTCCCAGTGGGCATCTCTACTACAGAGGGAGACTCGATGTATGTTGTCTGGCTCCATGGTTGTTCCTTCCTCCTCCTAAGGAGTCTGTAATTGGAGTCCTCTGTGTTGCTCTCCAGTAACCTAAGCAGCCGTTAAATCACTCCCTCCACCACCAACCCCGGCATACACACAGCAGTGTTTCTGGGGAAGGCAGGGCAGCTGTAACCGCCATTCATTTGAACGGGGTACAAGGGGCCCTAAATGTGATTGGCCATGACGTTGTTTGAATAGTGATGATTTCTACCTGACTGAGAAAACAAGTTTCCACCCAGCCCAAAGAGGAGGGGGAGGAGCCATGCCCCCTCTGAACTGCACAAATATGCTGCTCCCTCCCCTCAAGGCACCTGTTCAGAGCACAGCACCTGTGAAAAGGCCGCACCCAGGGGCTGAAACTGCAGAAACCCTCTACAGCTGGCTTTCCCTGCTCATTAACTAGGTCAATCTTTCCTATGTCCAGGGAACTGGGAATGTCAGTAGAGTGAAGTGGCCACAGTGATATTGCTAGGAAGATTTCCTCCTTCTTCAAGACGTTCATTCCTTCCTCTGTATTAAAGCAAAACACATATTGTGGAAGCTCCACACCTCTGCTGGATGGTGAGCAATTAGCTAATGGTTATGATATTCTTTGAAGCTCAGACATATAATTAGGCCTGACACTAAAAAGGAAAGATGAAGGAAGAAAAGAATGAACTTCTCTAAAAGTGAGGTTTATGGAAATAGTTATCAAGTCTGGATTTAAAAAATTCTCACAATGCACAGTGACCCTCTCTGAACCTCATCAATTCCCACTCTGATAAATTCTTACAAAATGATAACAAAGAGCGGCTCCTTTTAGAAAATGAGAGGGGTTTTTAATATCTAGAGCACCCTTTAGCAGGTACCCTAAGCATGTGACAACAACAAAGACTTACAATTGAAGCAGAGGAGTGGAGCGCAATGAAAACACCCTCTTTCCCCCATTACTGGGAGTGAAGAAACTAAAATGAGAAGGACATGCCCTTTGTGAATAAACACTTGAGCTACCATAACTCCAAGAAGCAATGATCATCAAACTTCAAGTTATTAGAGATTGCTGAAAAAAAACAAAGGCTTGCCCTCTGAGGATCCCAGGCATCCTGTTCCCTAAATGTAACTGACAAATGCCTCTCCTTTGAGATGGGTCCCAGAAGAATTCCTCTGAAGAAAAAGTCCCAAGCAGCAGGAAAGTGGAGACTTACAATTACAGAATTTAAGAGTTGGAAGGGCTCTTAGGGACCATCTAGTCCAACCCGCACATGAATGGTATCCCTACTAGAACATTCCTGACTAGCAGTTATCCAGCTCCCTCCAAGGAGGAGGGATCCACCATCTCTTAAGACAGACCAAGTTTTCAAAACCAAATAAGCCCAACATGGCACTGTAAAAAATAAAGGCCACAGATCATGAGCCTTTCTTAACAAGGGGAAAGAAGCAGAGATTAGGGTATTTCACTAAATTTTGGCATTAAGTATCACATAATCTGGAAGGGTTATCAAGCAATCAGCTGATCTAGCTGCTTACTACCAGATGTTAGTATCCTCATTTAAAAAGGCTGTTGTTTGTCCTCCATTTTCAAATAGGACCAAGCTTCAAAGCGCTCCACAGTACCTGCTTCAGCATCCTTCATGGCATTTGGAACAACCTGTTCTCATCCGCCCCTTCTGGCAGGGGAAGTCTTCATATGGTTGGGGTAGACACCCCCCTAATTCACCCATGGGTTTGAGGCCCATCAGTTACCCTCAGCCTGGTTTCATTTATCTGCCAAGACAATTTTACTGGGGAGTGGCTGCTGTGCATGCTACAGGTTCTTGGAACCACAGGTGAGAGTTTTGTGCTACCAAAGGTGGTTGAGCAGCCCTGAAAAGGGCTCGATAAGCCCTCACACCAGAGGTGCTAGTCCTCTCTGAATATCCCAGACCCTCCATTTAAAGAGGTAATAAGATCAGAGAGGTATAGGTCATGTTCCCATGGCCACACAGCTAGTAAGTATAAGAAATTAGAACCCAAGATTCTTATTTCCTTTTCTATAAGAATTATTCTATAGCCACTGTGTGTGTGTATAATTAGTCCATAGCTATTACTTCTAGTCCAGTACTCATGCCACTACACTACATACCACCATATGTAGGAAACTACCTAAATTATATGAAAATTAATAACAATAGTAATAGGTAGTATGTATGTAGTGCTTTAAGATTTGCAAAGCACTTTACATAAATTAAATCATTTTCTCCTCACAATAATACTGTGAGGCAGATGCTATTATTATCTCTACTTTACAAATGAGGAAATTAACCCACATGAAGGTTAAATGACTTGCCCAGGGCCATACTGATGCTAAGTGCCTGAGGTAGGATTTGAACTCGAGGTCAGCTAGGTGGTACAGTGGATAGAGCACTGGCCCTGGATTCAGGAGGACCTGAGTTCAAATCCAGCCCCAGACACATAACACTTTTTAGCTGTGTGACCCTGGGAAAGTCACTTAATCCCATTGCCCAGCCCCCCCCAAAAAAAAAAAGATTCAAGAACTCTTTTTCAGTGTGACTGTGGACATTCCCCTTTTGCCCAGCTCTCATTGTCAAGGAGTTTTTCCTAACATCAAGCTTAAATCTGCCTCTTTACCACTTCTACCCGCTGCTCCCAGTTCTCCCTCTGAGGTCCAACAGCACAAGTCTGACTCCCCCCTCTACATGACAGCCCTTGAAATACTTACAGACAGCCGTCGCATCCCCGAGCCTTCTCCAGGCTAAAGATTCTCAGTTCTTCTAACCAATTCTCCCATGATGCAGCTTCAAGGCCCTTCGCCACCCTAACTATCCTCCTCCGTACAGTCTCCAGGTTATCCCGGTCCTTCCCAAACCCGGAGGTGGTCTCACTTCTTCGTGTACCCCTGGGGCTCGGGGCGCACAGCACAGCAAGGGCTCTTTCATTCATGCACCATGCTGCCCACACCTGAACAGAATACTCCAGATCTCACCCCACCCCATCAAAGGAAGCCAGTCTAGGGCCACGGACCATTAGAAGAAGAGGACAGCAGGGCAAAGATCAGTGCAGCATTTTCCCAGGCTGGGCTGGACCCCACTGATGCAGCAACAGTTAGAATGGATATAAGGCAGATTAATAGAGAAAGAACAGAGGCTAAGGAATATAATTTATTTGGCTGTTACAATTAAGTTTATACACTAAAACATGCATAATGAGATGCAAATTATCCTCAGGTTAAATACTTGGGTATGCTTTCTAACAACAGGCCTTCAACTAGAGCAACAGCAAACTTCATGGAGTAGAGACTGGGCAAGTTCTACCCTTCTCACGGGCAAGGCTAGTTTTAAAAGGACCCCTTTTTATTTAGCATCCCCAGCAAGACAGTCAACATACCTGCACCCTCAACTTGCAAGCGGCTGATCCTCCTCTTGGTGCTTCCCTCTGGCTCTCTTCCCTCCTGGAGAAGAGTAAGTACCTGGCCCTGTCTCTCCATTCTCTCAGGTCCCCTGTGACTTTCAGATAGCTGCTCTTCCTCTCTTTGTTCCAACTGAGCCATCTCTCCAGGAAGAAACTGGAGGCTGGAGCAAAGTTGGCACTGCAACCAGAAAGACTGCCCAACCTGGAGAACAGGTCGAATAAAGAGTAGTCGTGCACCGTATGACATGATTTAAGGGGGCTACATATGCTTCCCTCCCCCAGGCACCACAGTGCCTGAAATTCCTCTATTATCACGAGCTTTTAGCCTTCTCCATATCATCCGCTTTTCTCCAACAACTGGGGAGACCCAAGCTTCATGAGGGCATGGGGAATCTGAAGGGAGGAGGGGTGGCAAAAATCAAGTTTGCTTCTTTTGTCAAGGGTCAGTGCTAGTAAGAGTCAGCACACTGGGATTCCCAGAATTGCTCTGCATTCTACAAGAGTAAATTGCCCATCGGGCTAAGTTGGGAGCAGGTCTGTCTAATGACTTTCTCTCTTCTCTCCTGACAAAACTATAAGGCCAAGGTCGGTTCAGAGACCTAAGAATGCCGTATTGGAAGCCACAGTTCAGCAAGCTCTGGCTCCCCTGAGAGAGCAATGGAAAGCAGGGGGTCTTTGGATTTTTGTTTCTGTTGTTAGTACCTCTAGGTAGAAGCAAGAAGACAGTAGCCATAGCCTGGACCTAAGGAAGTACATTTCACCTCTGTAAAGTAGCCAAATTTACTCCACCCCAACACACACACACACACACACACACACACACACACACACACAGAGCAACTCCCTCAAACCTACCAACCTCTGTTTATTTGCTCTTTCCCCTAATCCCAAAGGAAATCACACTGTTTATCTTGCTGGTCTTTAATCCCTAGTGCAAGAGAAACACAAATCTTGCTATTTCCCTGGGAAGAGCAACTGTTCACCTCACAATTCTATTGCCTTTGGCAACCCTGTCCCCAGGCAGCTACCAAGAGATCATTCTTTGGGATCCCAAAAGGTCATTTTGATTCCAAACCAACATCCTGTCACCACTCAATTAAAAGAAACCAAATGGTGTTTGTGCTTACCTGACAGCAAGAAGCCTGCACAGCCCTGGAGAGATTTGTATGTGGGAAAAATTCCTGCAGCTAGGTGGCTCAGTGGATAGAGTGCCAGACCTGGAGTAAGGAATACCTGAGTTCAAATATAGTGTCAGACACTCACTAAACCCTGGGCAAGTCACTTCACCCTGTTTGCCTCAGCTTCCTCATCTGTAAAATGAGCTGGAGAAGGAAATGGCAAACCACTCCTGTATCTTTGCCAAGAAAACCCCAAATGGGGTCACAAAGAGTGGGATATAACTAAATGAATGAACAACAACAGCAAGAGCTCCTTCTCTGAAAGATATAAGCTCCCTTTTCTCCCGAGGTAAAATGGGCAATGAAGAGGAGAAGTAGAAGCACAGCCCAAAGCTGCATGAAAGCAGATCTGGCTACCAGTGCTCCAGGGCTTGGGCAGCCAGAAAAGTGCTCCAACGGCCTGTCTGCTGCTTCCACCCCACTGCTCCTAACTAGGCACCCAGCCAAGGCCAGCAATCACTGACCCCAGAAATCACTATCCCTAGCCAGCCTTCCCCTAGGAGGAAAGAAGCAGCAATTAAGGACCCTGGGAGGGATCTCTGAGATCTCTGATCTCTGAATCTCTTGATTTAGGGGCCCAGTACCAGATGGTATCCCTACTTCAAAAATGAGGTAACAGAAGACCAGAGAGAGGCAGGAGACATTGCCACACCATACTGTAAGTAGCTGAAGAGGAATCAGAACTCAAAATTCCTGACTCCTCATCTGCAGGAATCATTCTGTAGTTATAAATATATATCATACACATCACACATATGATAAATACATATGCATGCATATATACATAAGTGCACTTATGCATATATAATTATTAATCTATTAGTCTGTAGCTATTATTTCTAGTCTAGGGCTCCTTCAACTATTACCACTTTACAGGAATGTATCTAAACTATATGGAAATTACTACAAAATTATTTTCTCTTATTACCACCCCCAACTTTAAGTCAACATTCAAGAATATTTTTGTACTATAACTGTGGATCTGGAGGAAAAAAAAGTAGCTCCCATTGGATTTTGTATTTTGAACACTTCAAATAGAAGAACTTAGCAAACCTGCGACCCAGAAAAATAAATCTTACACTAAATACTAAGCTCAGAGAAGGGACAGAATTTTCAAAGACCTTACCTCCTACAGTGGCTTTAGAGAGCCCAGGATGATCATTAAAGACGCTAGACAAAAGCACATGTAACCCTTATGTCAGAGGCATTGACAATATGGGGTAGCAAAGGTAGAGCAGCGGATATACAGTGGAGTGCGTGGCCTGGAGTCAGGAAGACCTGAGTTAAATCCAGCCACAGATATTTACTAGCTATGTGACCCTGGGCAAGTCATTTAACCACTGTTTGCCTTCATCCACTGGAGAAGGAAATAGCAAACTACTCCAACATCTTTGCCAAGTAAACCCCATATGGGGTCATGAAGAGTTAGACACGACTGAATAACTGAAAAACAAGCATATTTTCTTGAACAATTAAAGTTGAAGGCAGCCAGACAGCACAGTGAATAGAGAGCCTGGGGCCTGGAGGCAGAAAGACTCATCTTCCTGAATTTAAATCTGGCCTCAGACACTTAGTAGCTGTATAGCTCTGGACAAGTCACTTAACCCTGTTTGCCTCAGTTTCCTCATCTGCAGAAATGAGCTAGAGAAGGAAATGGCGAACCATTCCAGTATCTTTGCTAAGAAAATCCCAAATTGGGGCAGGTAGGTGGCGCAGTGGGTAGAGTACCGGCTCTGGAGTCAGGAGGACCTGAGTTCAAATCCAGCCTCCGACCAAACATGTGACACAGCTAGTGAGACCCTAGGCAAGTCACTTAACCCCAACTGCCTTAAAAAAAAGAAAGAAAGAAAAGAAAACTCCAAATGAGGTCACAAAGAGGCACAACTGAAAAATGACTGAATAACAACAACTGACAGAAGGATCCAGGTATACTTTGGGGACCTCTGAATTTCTTTAGTTCCTTTGCCCCCACCAAAGTAAAGGCCAAAGGTGGTCAGTCATCAGATACCCTTGCACAGGAAAGGACATAAAACTCACACCCAAGTTTGTACCAAAGTCAGAGCCCTTTCCTCCTCTGCAAGGTGATCCCTTTCCCCCATCCCAGAAATCTGTACAGTTGATACAGCTCATAGTGCTGCCTTGGACCAAGCTTCACTGGAGGAGAGGCTAAGGTTGTACCTCCTATTGCTCACTATGACACCTCCACTCTTGGCAGGCATCCAGCACTCCACCTTACCTGTCATGGCTCCCCACCCCCAAACAGCATTATGGTCCTCCTCATCAGTAGTGCTGGGCTCAACCCTGCTTAGCAAGCAAATTGCCTGGCATCCCAGCTGACAATTTCATACTTCCAAGGCCAGAATGATTTTCAGCTATTGACTCATTTTGTTCTTTTATAGCAGGTCCCCCTACCTTATAAACAAAGGCCCTCTTCTGATACTTCTCATTCTACTCAATCAAGTCTTTGTTTCCCATTCTTCTCCAAGTTAAGATTAATCCATCCCATTCATCTCCTACTTCCCCCAGTAGCCCAGGCAGTATGACCCCCCACTTGTTTCAGTACCTCTCACTGAGTCTTGTGAGATGCAGAGTAATACAGTAGCTCCCTTTCCATATTCCAGTCCACTCCTGTCTTCCTCCAGGAAAGCAGATCCAGACCATACAAGTTAACCCGGAGCTCTGGAAAAGAAAGCAGGGAGGTACTGCCCTGCTCCTGAGAAGCTGGCAAAGATTTGTCTGAATCTCCTTTAAGACTGTATCTGGTGGTAACAATTAGAAGGCAATTGAAAAATCTAGGCATAAGTTGGCAAGGATGTTCATTAGGATGCAAGCGATGGGAATGGAAAAGAACAGACAAGATAGAGCACTGGCCCTGAAGTCAGGAGGAACTGAGTTCAAATCTAGCCTCAGACCAAACACTTGACACTTACTAGCTGTGTGACCCTGGGCAAGTCACTTAGCCCCAACTGCCTAGAAAAAAAAAAAAGAAGAAGAGACAGACACAAAAATATTGAAAAGAAGATGGAAGATCTGGTGTTTCACATTGAAAATGTCAACAATATTAGGTCTTTTCATATCAATAATCCTGCAGAAAGAGAGTATTTGGGATGGGAAACCAATATGATTAAGTCCATCAATATTGGCCTATCTCAGAATCAAATACTGAGAAGAAGTCAACATGAATAAAAAATCAATTTAATTCACTGTCACATAAAAATACTCTGAGCCCAAAGCCAAGGCATACAGACTTGGATTGGACTTGGACAAGCCCTTGGACTGGACTTTTTCAGCACCCTAAATTTAACCAGCCGGAATTATTTTTAAGTAATATTTTACTCAACCTCTTAAATGAAGGACTTGCCTTTTAATAAGATATTTTCATTTCATCTTAATGGTGTATGGAACATAGGTGTCAGTAGGTCAATAATTCTTCACTGAAGCATTTATTCCTTGCTGCAAAGATCAGCCACATGGGCCTGAGAAACTCTAATATGCCAAACAGCATCAAGAGGATGACCTAAATCAGCATGCAGGGTCTGGGAAGGAAATAAAGTAGAAATACAGGCTTTCAAACTGGAGATTTTGCTCAGAAATATCAAAGACCAAACCATCTCTACCAAAGGAGACCTTGGGCAAGTCACTTCCTATCTCTGGGCCTCAGTTTCTCTTAATGGTCACCTTCCAGTTCTAACATTCTACAACCCCATGATTAAGAGCCAGCAAAGAAAATGTGTATTTTTAGAACACTTTGGGGAACTGCAGCAATGTTTGATATCACTGCAAACTTTGTGTGGGGCTGTCCTACACTTTCTATCTTCTGGTGTCATTTATATACCAAATGTCAGTTCCACCAGAAGTTACTGATTACTGAACAAAGATCTCATATTTATTGTACCATTGGCTAAATAAGTTCGTAGATGGTCTAAAAACTGTGATACTTTGAACCCCCTGCTCTCTCTTCTGCTTCTGTCCTTCTGCCACCATCACTACCAAAGCAGAAGGGAACGGTGCTGTTCTAATGGCTCTGTCGTATGTTTTATGTCTTTTCTGAGTCACAATGACCAAAAACTTTATCACCTGGGAGCCAACCTTTTGGCAATAAGCCTAGCCACACTTAGTCTCATCCTCAGCCCAGTTATAATCTACTATTGGAACCATACTTTAAATCTTTCTCAGCCTGGTAGAACATGCCAAAGTATGTACTATATTGGCATGTATTTTGAGAACCCTAAGTCAACTCCATACTATAGAGAAACATCATGGTGGAGTTTTTGTGTGGGAAGGAGATATATACATATATGTATATATACAGGTATATGTATATACAAGTATATATATGTATATATACAGGTATATGTATATATACAGGTGTATATACACACACACATATACTATATAAGAAAGTTGGACTGCACAGATGAACCTGGCCAATTAACTATTAAAGAATTTCATTCTAGAAGGTGATACAATTTTAAGGGCTTTTGAGGATCAATTTTCAAAGCATTATAGATTCCAAAATACTTGGAAAAGCTAGTAATAATGCCCCCACCTCCACCCCCCATAAAAAAGGTGATCAAGAACACATCAACTACTAGCTCCTATGCCTTCTTTTCTCATTTCTCTGAAATCCTCAATGAGAGTGGTCATGGTGAAAAGGTAAGCAGTGCAGGGAAAGGGAAGGCAGAAATGATCTTCACGATCATAAAATGAGATACAAAGAGGACAGGAGATCCCATTTTGTGTACTGTTTGTTGGCTGCAAAAAGGCATGACTCAGAACAAAAACAAAAGCCCTAAAAAGCTTGTTTCCAATGAATAGACTCTCCCATACTACAAAATGACTTAATAGATACAACCATAAAGATAATCTACCAATCCTCTGAGTACCCATACCAAGCAAGGTATAAAAAAAGAGGACATGTTTGCCAAAGGCATTTGCCAGTATCATGGAGGACGTCACTGCATCCTATTCAAAGTCCAATTGGAAGTGAGATTCCCCACTAATGGTAAGGTGCTCTGGATGCTCCAGCTTATGGATGACATTGATCTGATTGCATGGAGAGGATTATCAGTTTGACGAGATTCACAGGGAAAATTACAGAAGACTAGTTGGAAGAGCCATCTAGGTCAACCCAAACCTGAACACGAATCTCCTCTACAATATGCCCAACAAATGATTAACCAGCCTTTGCTTGAAGAATTTCTGTGGAAGGGAACTCATCTTCTGAGACAGCCAATTATACTATTGGATAGTTCTATTAGCCTCAGTCTTCCTCACTGTAACTTCTACCCATTATTCTAAGTTCTTCCTTTTAGCATACGCAGAATAAATCTAATTCCTTTTTCACATACTTCAAATGCCTAAAGACAATTAACGTGCCCCCCCCCACCCAAGTCTTCTCTTCTTCAGGCTATTCCCAGTTTCTTTATCAGGCCTTATATGGCATGACCTCATCAAAACAGATGTGCCCAGTAATTAACAAAGGAAAAACTATGAAGAATGTGTATTGCCCAGATTATGCCAAACAATTAAATAGGTAGCCCAGTGAGTTAGTCCAGGTACTGCAAATGGACAACAGGCCAGAATTGAATAGGAAGAAGAGGAAAAGGCTAGACTGCATTTGGGAAATTACAAAGTGCTTTCGATGATCTGAATCTGCTCTTTACTGCAAAAGCCCACCTTTCAAATACCAATATCCTTCCCCTGATGTGATATAGATGCAAATCATGCTATATCACTCTCTCAGAGGAATCAAAATTGCATGTGCCCTAAAGGGCCATGGAAAGACACATAATGTAAGTAAGACTATTATTTGCACATAAGAAGTAGAGTAGCATAAAAGATAACATCAAGGACATGGAAGATAGAAAAGGGATTAGGCGTCATGTGAATAAGGAATAATATATGGGTAGCTTGCTTGTTGTACTGCTATTCACAAAATACTAAAAGACCTAGAGGAAAGCATCAGATTGGTGTTACTCCATGGAACATTTATGGAAAGGCATGAACAAAAATGACACCAGATGAAAAGGCATGAATAGAATGCAATCTGCACTGGTGGAAGGAATAGCCAATAAAATCAGGGATCCATTGAAGTACCTGGGTATTCCTCTCGTAAGAGGCCAAGCAGCCTTTCTCCTGGGAGTTAAGTGTGGATGTTATTTACCTGGTCTCTCACCTAAGTTTGACAATGGAAAAGTTTTTCTACCTTAAATAATATCACATCCAGGATGAGAAGCAGGCGACTAAAGAACACTTACAGATCTGTGCTTATTAGCACAAACTGTAATATTTTGTTTTGAGATAATTGCAAGAGTTAAATTCTAGGGAAGCTATTAACAATTTAGCATTTGCTCTTTGCTGTGAGAATGTGGATTCCACTTACCGAAAAACAATAATATGGGAATGCTTGCTATAAACTCAAAGTACTGAATTAGAGGGGTTGGGCTGCTCAGCTGTATTTCTCTCAATTTTGTTAGACACCAAACTTAAATATACATGTAAGAGGGCAAGCACAACTCTAAAGTAGCTTCCTGTGCAGATGGTGGCCATTTCAAGTCTTTAACAGCAGAAATGGTATTAGGAAAAAACAGGTGGTATGGGGCAGAGACCACAGCGTCCCAGACTAACTCTAGCTCATGCAGGAAATTTTATTCTATGCTTTTGGAGATCTTGAATGCTTTCGTGCAGCTGTATTTGGAAGAATGATCATCTTACACCTCCCCACTCTCATTTTCTCACCACTTATTTTTCACTCCTTGAAATCTGATTTTCATCTCTTCCTTTACCAGTGATCCCCTAATTACCACATCCAATGATTATTTATCTTAGTCCCAAATCTATATTCCCAGACCTGACTTTACTCCTGAGCTCCAGTCTCAAATTTACAGCTATTTGCTAGACTTTTCTACCCAATTGTGTGCCACTAACATCACAAACTCAACATGTCAACATTGAAATTATCCCCTCAAAGCTGTTTCCTCTTCCTGAGTTATTTCTGATCATTTCCCTCCATAAGCCCAGCTCAAAGCCCGTGATCTCTGCCTTATTCTACTTACTTTTTCTAGCCCTGTTCTTTTATCATGAGAGGTCGTCTGGATTCATCCTCCTGTAAATGTGTCTCATAGATGTCCCTACCCTCCTAGCTCCACAACTATCATCCTAATGAAAAGTTCTTACTAACACACGCTTAGATTTTCAAATGCCTCCTAAATATTACTGATGGCTAAGTGAAATCTCACTCTGCTCCAATCCATCCTTCACACCTCCACTTAATTAAAATACTCAAGTATTGCTTCCACATCACTCCCACTATTTCACCTTCACCACCACCACTACCACCACCACCACCACTCGAAAACTTGTAGTGGTTCCCCATTGTCTTCCAATAAATTCTAAACTCGTAGCCAGAAATTAAAGGTCCCAAATAATATGGCCCCAATCTACCTTTCCTGAATTATTCCCTATCAGAACACTGAACTCTAAGCAAAGCAATCATTTACCATTCTGTGATTCAAGCCAATTCAACAAAACTTTATTAAGCATCAGTTACATGCAAGATACTGTAGAGATAGGTTCTAGAGATACAAAAATAAAACATTCCCTGCCCTCAAAGACCTTATACTTTCCTGCCTCCATGCTCATGCTATTCCTTCCAAATGAATGTCCTCTCCACCCCCAATCCCACTTATTATAATCTGAACCACCCAGCTTTAATCTCACCTCTTCCATGAAGTATTCCCTATCACTCCAACGATCTCACCTACACCTTAACTCCCACAGCACTTTGGCTGTGACATTTGCCATATAGAGCCTTTTATTATTTTAGCTAGTTGTGTCCATCTTTCAGCATAAGCTTATAGGGCAGGGACTAAAATGTTTATATTTTTGTATGCCCCACAAAGCTGAGCAGGAATTAAATATTTATTGAATAAACATGTTGAACAAATGAATGAACAGATAATTAGATGACAGCTGAAGTTCCTTCTAGTTACAGGATTCTAATCCTAGAGTTAAGGTCCTAGAAGTAACTAGAGACCTCAAAGAGACCTTTCCCTTGAAGCGGCCTCTATGAAAGAGAAACTTCCTTTCGGTAGTGCAGGATCACCACCTAGTGGTTACTGATCAGCTTGACCAATCTGTTGGTCTACCGGCTCCCACCCAAAACAAACAAAAAAAAGCTACTAATGTGGGACCATGTTCATTGGGACCATGCACAAAATCTTTACAACTTTTCCCCTTACCTTACCAAGACTGAAGGGTTGATTCCTTAAGGCTTTCTAGGACCTGTGTGGCCAACCCCTGAAAATGAACTAAACAAGGTCTGGTGCCTGAAAGTGAAAACTTCACATACATTCTTCCCCAGATTCTTTCTGACTTCATAGAGCCTCAAATACCCCAATTAGTTCCATCACAAAGTCATAAATCGTTTTAGCACAAGCTTGGTTGAAACAACTTCAGAATCATTTAACCAAATCATCTGATTTCTTAAATAGAGTTTTTTCCACTAAGAACAAAGGCAACTCCCAAGAGAAACAAATTTAGTACAGATGCCCTTCCCGCAGGACCCCCACTGATCAAACCCCACTTCAGATGTTAATGCTACCTCAAAACTAAAGACGAAGTGAAGAATGTCAACACCCCCAATCACACTTCATCTATATGTAGGACCAATTCGATGCCAGCCCATCCGTACTGGGAAACAAGGTCAGCAAACTAGAGTTCAAAGTAATCCATTCGTGGCAAATATCCTAGAACCGCAAGAGTCATATTGGGAACCAGAGCTCAGATATATAGTGACTAGGACAATTCCCAACCATATTGAGTCATCTAAGCTTCTTGGCTACTTGAGTACTTAGAGAAAGCTGAGAGCATCTGACAGACTTCTTATAATCCTGGCCTTTAAGGCCTCATTTCCCTGGTCCTAAGACAGCCTACTTGTCTTGATGGTTAACTCTTTGTGGTGGGGACAAGGCAGTTGGTGACAGTTACCTTGTCCCTCCTCTCAGAACACTGGGGCCATATTCCCCACCCAGAAGGTTGGGGGAGGGGTATGCAGAGGCCTTCAGTAAATCCTCCTTCTCCCTCTATTCTCCTCTATTTCCTCTTAAATCACCTAAGCTCCAATATCAGAGAGGTTAGCCTTGGGAGTATATCAGGAAAACTGCCCACATAAAATTTCACTTTCCTGATCCATAAATATTCAATTAAATGTAGTTGATTCTTTAATATCATTGAAAAGTGGCACAAATAATGAAAAATCCTTTTGGTATGGCTTTGGAATGTAGTGACAAGGGCAGGCAGAGAGAAGGGAAGAGATAGATGTACCTTCCTATTTCTGTTTGTTTTAGGCTGATGAACTGTCATTCCAACTGGGACATATACCAATTAATGGCACAGAAAGGCCACTAACAAGGAGAGATGGGATAAGAAGAGCACTCCAGCTGGAGGGATGACAAGCTGAGATGAAAATATTTGCCATGGCTAATTGTGAAAGGACATCATTCAGCAGAAATATCATCGGCACAGGGGCAAGTAGACCTGGGCCCTGTGGTACAGCAGAAAGAACACCAAATTTAGAGGGCAGGACATGAGTTCAACTACTGGCTCTGCCACTTACTACCTGTGTGACTCCAGACAAGCCACTTCTCTGAGGCTCAGTCTCCTCATCTGTAAAACAAGAAAGCGGAGTCTCGAAGCTCTACATCTATGACACTAGGATCTCGGAGTCCCTAGCTGTGCCACCAACCTCTCTGGGACTGACAGATCACCTCTAAGATAAGGGGCCAAGGAGCAGGGAACCTAAATGATCATTCAAACTCTGACGTCATGCTTTGGGAGAAGAATACAGGGAAGCACATCTTCTCCACTCCCCAGCTTTGAAACAAAATTCATCCTGAATGTTATAGTAAAGTCTCTAACATTTCCCCCACATCTAAAATTCTATATAGACTTGATTTGAAACTCAACAATTTTCATATAAGTTCAAGCACCCGCGAAACTAGAGTTCTTTCAATCATTATCACTAATAGCATTTTTCTTAATAATAGTTGCCTTTTGAAGCTTGCAGAGTGTTTTATATACACTATCTCATCTGAGCCTCACAACAATCCTGTGAAGTAGGTACTACCTGTGTTCTTATCCCCATTCTATAGAATAGGAAACTGAGGCTCAGACATGTTAAATAAATGACTTGCCCACAGTCACAAAGCTAGTGTCAAAAGCAGGATCTGAACTCCAGGCTTCCAAACTTTAGGTCAATGCTCTTTCTGCTAAATCATGCTTAGTCCAGTGTCAAGAAATAGGGGGCCTTCACACTACTTGATAGTGATCCCACTCCCGCTAGGAGCGCGTCCAGAGGGTTAGTGGGAAAGTTACCCCGGTGCACAAGCTCACAAAGCAAATCCCTGCTCTGTGCTGTGCTCCCCCCTGTAAAACAACAAGGACAACAGAACTCCAAAGGGTTTATGTGAAAGAGGGAAAGAAGGCACCAGATGGTATTGCTACAGGAAACATTCCACCTGCATCCCTGCTCGCCTCCCACTCCCACGCTGAACCGCCCTGCCACCAGAACAGACACACAAATCTTCTAACCCCAAAATGACTCTTTTCATCGTTAAGTCAGAACCACTCAACAACAACAATCCAGACTGCATCAATACAACTTTCCTGGGCTCATATGAACCTATTCTCAATCCCTGCCCTTTTCTTAACACCCTGCCATCTACCAGAAATGAGTGGAAGGGAGAGAAGGTAAGTAGTCACATACAGGCCTGCATAAGGGCTCTAGAGAAAGAAGAAACTAACTACTTTCCCCACAGGAAAGTGGAGGAGTCAATCTTATCCCGAGAGGACTGGCTACCGGCTTGGACGGAGCTGACCAAGTGTGACCGACATCTTCAATATCCTATTCTCACTCTAGGCTAGATGGTGGGGTGGGTGGCTCCTCCTGTTGCTCAGCAGAAGCCTGAGGAATCTGTACGGGCTCTAGAAGTTCCTCCTCCAACTTCTTTCCATTGACAGCCAAAGGAGACTTAGAGGTTTCCTCTGCTTCCACTTCCTGAGCTTCATGCTCCCACTGTTGTGTCTGGTCTTCTTTGGCTGAGACTACACCTGAAAGAAAGATCAATCCTCCACTGGTGCTTTTTGTCTTTTCCTAAATCCCCATAAGCAGCAGAAGGGCAGGAAAGGAAAGGCCAGGCAGAGGGTCCAGGGAAGCTCCACCCGAGAGAGGAAGGCTCCATCCTGGTCCCCCTGTGCTCAGCTTTCCCTAACCTCTGCCATTTACACAGTCTCACCCCAACCAGCCACTTACTGTCTTTTTGATGCAGGAAGTTGCTATTGATGGAAACTTGATTTAACTCCAAAAGCTTCCCGCTCTTTGATTTCTCTTTGAGCTCCTGAAATCCATATGATTTAATGGGTCAATAAGCACAAAAACTCACATGTGTGTGATTGCGTGTCTGTGTGTGATATGAAAATGAGAGAGAAAAGAAACCTGAAAGACTCTTGGATACTAAGATGACTTCTCAAATAAACTCAGCCCCTAAGATAAGATAACAGGAGACACTTAGGCCATGGAGCATCTCACCATCTTGTGTCCATTCCATAATTAAATATCCTGGGTACTTAAGAATATCCACCTTCACTTGATACTCTGGCAGTCTGGAATAAGGACAGGGCCAAACTTTCCCCTATTATACAGAAGCTTGGTGGAGGCACCTAGGAACCATCTTCATCCCTAGGGCACCTTCACCGCCACCCACCATCTCTGAAGTTTGTTGGATCTTACTCTTTGAAAAGCTTGGCTTTCTGTAAGCTTCTTGAGACCTAGTAAGCAGAAAGCCAAACTACTCTTCTTTTGTCAGCTTACATTTCATCCCTAAGCTCCCATTTTGCTCCTTGTTAGCAGCTGGGCCTCCATTCTCTCAGTGCAGAACATAATCAAGATGGCAGCCTAATAGAGGGTAGGGGGGAGTCCTATTCAAAGCTCTGCATGATTATTCATCCAAGACTATTACCCTCTAAGTCTATTACCCCAGCTCCCCACCCTTCACACACACTACAGGATGGTAGACCAGGACAATGTATGAGAAGTGACTCTGGGGGGCCAAAGTGACCTGCATGTGAGGGCAGCCCGTATAGCTCTACCTTTTCTCTTCAGCTTAGGAGTTGCTTTGGCCACTCTGGAATGTAATTCTCTTATATTTGCTGGATATCTCAACACTGGACTCTGAAGAAACATAAGAATAGCTCCAATTTTAATGAGCTCTTTTGCTCATTCAAATTGGACCCATACCTCACTATGTCCACATTTCAATACCTGAAAGATCTGTAATTTTGTCCCTGTACAAACACAGAATTTAATCCTGCTGTGCCTTAGGAAACAAGTTTTAGGACAATGTCCAATCTGATGATGAATACGCCTCTCCAAACTTCACAGGAACCAACTAGATTGGTCTTCAGAAAAAAAGACATCTAGAGGCAGCTAGGTGGCGCAGTAGATAGAGTACTGGCCCTGGAGCAGGAGGACTTGAGTTCAAATCTGATATGAGACACATGAAACTCACTAGCTGTGACCCTGGGCTAGTCACTTAACCCCAACTGCCTCTCAAAAAAAGAAAAAAGACATCCAGCCTGTCATAGAGCCCAAACCCAAAACCTTTCCCATCTGGTAGTGCCTATCAGAGTTTGACTGGCACTGACTCAGCCTTCCAGAACCCAGAGTCACCTCTTCACCAGGATGAGACCTTGAAGAAGAATTATGCAGTGCACTCTACTAGTAGGTGTTATTATGGAAGAGTGGCAGAAAGTATACAGGAGAAATAGAAGACACTGTCCCTGCTGTGAAGGAGAAAACCTTTTTAGCTGCTTTTTTCAAGACTCTCTCCTAACTAAATTTGCCGATTCACTTTTCCTTCTTCTTCTATATCATTCCACCATGGAGAAGTCAAACTTTTGGGGGGAAAGAGTGCTAGTTGTGCCCTTTTCTTATCCAAGATCAGCTGGAAATATTTAAATATCACTGACCTTACAGGTCATCCCTCCTTCCCCCTTACAGAAGTCCTTAGTTATTATTGGTGCCTTGGACTGAAAATGCATAGCCTAAATTATAGCAGCTTAGGTGAGGGCCAACTCCAACACATCCCTTGGGTTTTCTCCATGACCCTGGCTAAACAAGTGTTCAAGATACACTCCCTGTTATTAGTAACTAGGCTACTCCAGACAGACCAGGTCCCACTCACTGCCATGAGTAACAGAACTTAAGCAGCATTCCAATCTCAGGAGTAAAATGCCCTTTGCTACAGTCAGCATGGTATAACAGAAAGAGCTGGGCTGGGAGTTAGGGTTCTAGCCTGAGCTAAGCCACTAACTAGCTATGTGACTGCAGCCAAACAACTTCTCTGGGGGCTTTAGTTTCCTCCTCTATAAATGAAGAATTTGTGATGCATAATCTATAAAATCTCTTTGAGCTCAAAAAAGTCTAAATCTTTAGTAGTAGTAAATGCTAAATGCTCTAACAAAGGCAGGAAACCGTGTAACAACGAACACTTGAAAAACCACAGGCAAAAAAAGTAAAATTCCATTAAAATTCTAATGTCAGAGAACGAGGACAGCTCCAACATCACAGATCTTCTGTGCTACAACGAGAAGAAAAACTGCTATCTGCTCTCATGCTATACACAAGGCACACTTCTAAACTTCCAAGACATTTTATGTGCATGTTTTGTCTACAAAACTGGACTGTAAACTTCTTAAGGACAAACATCTCACAGGGACTCTGAACACTGCAGGTCATCAATAAATACCTGTAGCCTGTTTAAAGAGCACACAGCCCTCCTACTTTGCTAGCGCTCCTCTGAGTAGGTGCTTCCCAAGACCAGGTCTGACAACAAGGTTGCCAGTGCTATGGACTACAGTTCTCATCCTTAGAGCCTGCTTAGTGAAAAACATCTTCCCCTCAGGCTATCCTTGCTCTTACCTGAAGGTTTATTCTGTGCACAGCCAGAATCATCTTTGTCTTAGACAACATAAATCCATGCCCTTCATGAAAAAGGTTCTCTTCACTTATTCTGTCCAGTTGGTCCATCTTTGAAATTGTTTTCTCTTCATCAGACAAAGAGCTGAGGGGAAGAAGGATAAACAAAGAATAAACAGTAGTTCTATTCTGAAAGAATATGAATAAGGGGTTAAAATGGCTAAAGGGTCAGTGAAATTTCCCTATCTAGACCATGAAAGGGGTCTGCACAAACCAACACTCTGTCTGCAAAACCATCTAGAGATACAACTGCCCATCTGTGCCCAGTTGACAACCTAAGGCAAAAGTAGAAACAGATTAGGAGAAGACATGCACTGTACTTATCCTCCTTGACTCAGAAAAAAAAGCAGGTTCATCTTTTGGTCTTCACAGAGAAGAGGAAGGAGGATGGGGAGAAAAAAGGAAGAGGGATTGGGGGAGGAAGAGGAAGGTAAGGAAGAGAGGGAGGGAAGGGGAAAGAAGAAGAGAAGAACTCAACAACTGCTTTACATACGTTCTCTCATTCAATTCTGCCAATAATCCTATGAGGTAGGTGCAATTATTATCCCCATTTTACAGAGGAAAAACCTTGAACATCAGAGAGAGGTTGTGATCCTAAGGTCAAACAGTTAATAAGTGTCAGAAGGAAGATTCAAACCCACGTTTTTCTGACTCCAAGTTCATCATTACACCACGCTATGCTCTAAGGGACACTTACCTCATTACTGAACGCTTGGGGAATGTGAAGGTACAGGAAGGCAAGGATTCCGGATATGAAGGTGGGGTGTCTGGAGATGGTGGGGGCACCTTTAGCCATCGATGCATCAACTGGCTAGAACAGGGCTGCCCACCAGTAGGGATTTCTGTTGATTTCTTTTTCTTGAAGAGAAACAAATAGTGAAAACAACTCCCTCATTTTCCTATCACCACCTTGGGTTCATACTTCTTCCAATCAACACACTAGCTTTATGATATTAATCCTAACTTGTCCCTTCCTTCCAAGCACAATTTCTGCTTTATTTTGCACAACTTCTCATTTCCTCTACAACATTGTTCCTGTTCCATTTTCCTTCCAACAGGTCCCTGACACCACTCTGGTAGCCAGCTAACTCTATGTCATCTCCCCTGGCACCAATTAAGGGTGTCTCTTCTAGAAAGATCTACAGAGAAGGCTTTTCTCCCCAGATGGATAAACATAAGTAGATAAGGGAAGAGATTTTTGGAATGGAGAGAAGTTTGGTAACTCCAACTGGAGGACGTCTACTGGATGCTTTCCTTAAGTGGGAGCTCAAAGGAACTGGTAGGAAAAAAAATCTAAACTAATAGAACAAAAGCATCAACACTTTGATCAGTGAGACTAAACAAAGAATTTACAACCTTCTGAGATTCTCTCTTGCTGATCCACTCCTGGCATGGTATAATTTTGCTGATCTTCAAGGGTACAAATGATTTCTTATCCGGGCTCAGTCTAAATAAACTAAAGCATAAAGAGGCCTATGAATTAGAAGCTGTCCAGGGACTTCTCTACCCACTCCGAGATACCTTAAATACAAGAAACAATGATTAGTCAGAAAATGATGAGGCCTCATTCATAATACTGGTTGAATGGTGGTGACTTCTCTCTCTCACACCAGCCATCCAAGTGAGCTGAATTCAATGGTAAGGCCTTCGCAGAAGCTGCTAAGTAGAAGCATGTACCAAAGTTACAGGGTCTGGTCTGTCAGGTCAGTTCTTCACTGTTTAGCACCTTTAACATACCTCAATCAGAGCATGAAAGACCCAAAAGACACAAGAGTCATTATTTTCCTGATTCAGCTACAGAGGTCCATGAGCCCTTTTACTCTCTGCTATGTGGAACTCTTGCATATTTTGTTTCATACAAAAGTACTATTCAGGAGTTATTCTGTGCACATACGATTGGGTTTTAGGGTTGAGGTAAAAAGTCTAAGAAAGGATCTGCCTAAAGGAAGCAGAGCTTTGATTACTCCTGACAAATAGGGAGGGAAAGGTTGGAGAGGGCAATTCTAATTTCTGTTCAAAACCTTTACTTGAGAGAAACCTAGAGGTAGAGAATCTCTAGGAGTTTCATACAGGCATAAGATCTAAGGACTCCCAAGGCTAGGAGCAGTGCTTACTTTGTCCTATAGTTCTGGTCAGGTTTCTTGCGTTTCACTTGTTCATTTGGGATCCATACCATAACCAAATTTCTACCATCTGGACATTTTGGAAGATGTGTTGCATTCAAATTCAGCACTGGGAGCTATAACAAAAAATGAAAAGATATGAACACTGCTAATTTGCCCCCCTGGGCTTATAAGGCCCAGGTACTCAATTCCAAATAAGTACCCAAGTGGCATAGGAGTCAGTTAGGGAGACTGACAATAACAATTATAACAGCTGACATTCATATAGTGGTTTATGGTTTACAGAGCAACATATATTTAGAGAGAGAGAGAGAGAATAAATATATACTCATTAGAACCTCACTATATATATATGCATATATAATGAATAAATATATACTCATTAGAACTTCACACTATATATATATATGCACACACATATATATACATACATATTTCCCTGCTTAGAAACTCACAACAAACCTATGATGTAGACAAAGTATTATTATCATTTTTATAGATTAAAAAGCTGAGACTTAGTGAGGTTACATAACTTGATACAGGTAACAACCAAATTAAGTGATGGAGCCAGGATTTAAACTGAGATCTAAATCTAGTGATCCATTAAGTGAATGATACTTTCCCCCTACAGAGTCTAACACCAAGTTTGTTCAACATCCTTACACACCTGAGTCAGCTCCTGTGGACATCTACTTCCTTCCATGAACACCAATTATATTACCCATCCTCCCCAGGAGTTATCCCCAGAAGCAGGGGTTGAGACAGCTCTGGAGCTGGGCAGATAATTAGCGAAGCAAATGCAGTGTTCCTTTCTAGGTTCTCTTTGCAGTCTGTCCACCACTTCTAGGACCTGACACCCTAAGTTATTTCACCATATGACCCTATGTTGGGTGTGTGTGTGTGTCTATATATGTGTATACATGTATATATATGTACATGTGTGTCTGTGTGTGTGTATATATATGTGTCTTCTTATCAATGAGCTCCCCAAACTGATTCTGTATACTTCAGGGGTTAGGGTTTTCTTTGGTCATGAAACAACAGATACTACCCAAGAATATTGCTGCTGTTCAGTCGTTTCAGTTGTAATCGACGCTTCATGACCCCATTTGGAGTTTTCTTGGTAAAGATATTGGAGCGATTTACCATTTCTTTTTCCAGATCATGTTACAGATGAGTAAAATGAGGCAAACAGGGTTAAGTGACTTGCCCAGGGTTATGCAGCTATCAACCATCCAAATTTGAACTCAGGAAAATGAGTATTACTGACTCCAGGCCTGGCACTCTACGCACTATGGTGCCATCTAACCGCCCACCCAAGAATATAGGGTGTTAAATAAAGGCAATACATTTTATTCTGTGCTAAGCAGCTCAGCTGGAAAGACATACCATATATATAACATATGTGGATTATTTTTCTTTGTGACTTACTTTGACAGGTTTTCGAGACTTCTGGGCAACACCCTGACCGTGGAAGCCTCTCAGAGATTTGAGTCCTAACAAATGTGGTCCTTCCAAACTGAAACAGAACATAAAAGTTATTAGAGAAAGTAAGAGGAAAATAAAGGCTAATGAAGGGAAGATCTTGGAGGAACCCTCCCTCATATTTACAGCAGTAATGCTTCTACATAATACTTCACTGTTTTATGGTTTCCCTTTTTATTCTCTGCTTCCTAATCCAGTGGCAAAGAAATGGATCATGATCAACAGACAAGTGAGGAACACATACTATGTGTAGGGCACAGGACGTATAAGATACAGTCCCTGTCCTCAAGAGACTTATTCTAGTTGGGAAGATAGGAAATGTGCATGGTAAATCAAAGGCAGAATGTGTTAGGTATATGAGTTGTTGTTCAGTTATTTTCAATCATGTATCATTTCATGACCCATTTGGGGTTTTCTTGGCAAAGATACTTCAGGGGTTAGGGCTTTCTTTGGTCATGAAACAACAGATACAACCCAAGAATACTGCTGTTGTTTAGCCATTCCAGTCATAATCAACTCTTCATGACCCCATTTGGAGTTTTCTTGGCAAAGATATTGGAGCGATTTGCCATTTCTTTCTCTGGCTCATGTTACAGATGAGGAAAATGAGGCAAACAGGGTTAAGTGACTTACTCAGGGATATACAAACTAGTGAGTGTCGGAAGCCAGATTTGAACTCAAGAAGATAAATCTTCCTGACTCCAGGCCCACTCTATGCATCATGCCACCTAGCTGTTACAGGAGTTCTGAGAAAACGGCAAGACCACCATAAAAGAAAAAAATCCAGTTAGATTTCCTGGAGACAGGAGAACTTGAGTTAGGCCTAGAAAAGCAATCCAATGAGGTGGAGAGAGTGTCAGACTGGACTCAAGAGACCTGGATTCAGGTCACAGCTCATACTGGATTTGTGACCTGGGCAAAGCAATTCTCCGATCTCAGCCTCAGGTTCCCTCACATATAAAATGGGAATATTTAAAATACCTCCCTAATAAGTTTGACATAAAGAAAGAGTTTTGTAAGTCTTAAAGCAATAAGTAAATGTAATTTGTAGTTGTAGCTGTTAAAAGGATAGGCCATAAATAAGCTGAGAGGCCTAGAAGGACATGCCAAGTAGGATAAACAATACAACTGAAGGCATTGAAGTGAAAATCAGAATTGAGTGATCAGAGAACAATCAGTAGACTAGTTTAGCTAAAGCGTAAGGGAAGAAAACAATGGGAGATAAAGTGGAGAGGGAGTGAAGAGCCTAGAATGACAAACCCAAGTTTTGGCTTTATTCTGTAAGCAATAAGAAGCCTGTGAAAATTTTTGAGTTGGAGGAAAGGCATGCTTATTAGTGTTTTAAGAAAATCAACAGGGGGGCGGAGCCAAGATGGAGTGAAAGCAGCAACTTGCTTGAGCTCTCCCACAAACCCCTCCAAATACTTATAAAAATGTCTCTAAACAGTCTAAAGCAGCAGAACCCACAAGAAGACAGAGTGAAACAAATTTCCAGCCCAAGACAACCTGGATGATTGGTCAGAAAGGTACATCTTGCTGGGCTAGTAGCAGAGCACTGCGCGGCGTGGTGCGCAGGCCACAGCAAACCTGGAGCAGGCCTCAGAGGACTGAATCTCGGGCAGCTGTTGCTGTTTCCAGACTCCTCAATCCACAAATACCAAAGACAACTTAGAAGGTCAGTGGGAAAAGTCTGTTTCTGAGGTGCTGAGAGAGGAAGGTGGGGTCTCAGCTCCAGTTCCCCGAGAACACGACCCTGGGGTGGGCAGCTGCTTCCCAAGCTTCTGGCCCACAGACTGAGGGAGAATCGAGTGGCTGATCAGAGGGGGATTGCAGGGATCTCTCTGCTGGTGCTGAGGCAGTAATCTCTTGCTTTGCCTGTGCTTGGATCTGGGTCACAGTTCTGGACAGGGGTCCTGGGGTAAGGAGGGGCGCTGGCATGGTGGAGCTTGTAGTGCCTGTGGGCAGAAAACTTTCCTCGCAGTTCCAGGACAGAAAGGAGTGCTTGTGGTCACTAATAGACCACAGCACAGGCCAGAAAAGGAGTAAACACCTCGCCCCTCATCATACCACCTTGCAAGAACTGAAAATTTATGGGTCCCTACAAGTATCTCTGAAAACAGCTATATAAACCCCCTAAAGCTTGGGACAGTACATTCTCCACATTGGAAGCAGACTCTTACCTTAACAAAGAGTTTAAAAATCAAGTAATTGGCTGGGATTATGAGCAAGCAGCACAAAAAGAGTCAGACTACATTATCTTACTTTGGTGACAAAGAAGATCAAAATATACAACCAGAAGAAGACAGCAAAGTCAGAGCTCCTACATCCAAAGCCTCCAAGAAAAATATGAATCAGTACCAGGCCTTGGAAGAGCTCAAAAAGGATTTTTGAGAAGCAAGTAAGAGAAGTAGAGGAAAAACTGGGAAGAGAAATGAGAGTGATGCAAGAAAATCATGAAAAACAAGTCAACAGCTTGCTAAAGGAGACCCAAAAAAATACTGAAGAAAGTAACACCTTAAAAAATAGCCTAACCCAAATTGCAAAAGAGGTCCAAAAAGCCAATGAGGAGAAGAATGCCCTAAAGAGAAAAATTGGCCAAATGGAAAAGGAAGTCCAAAAGATTACTGAAGAAAATACTTCCTTAAAAATTAGAATAGAGCAATTGGAGGCTAGTGACTTTATGAGAAATCAAGACACTGTAAAACAAATCCAAAAAAATGAAAAAATAGAAAAGAATGTGAAACATATCATTGGAAAAACAACTGACCTGGAAAGTAGATCCAGGAGAGGAATTTAAAAATTATTGGACTATCTGAAAGCCATGATCAAAAAAGAGCCTAGACATCATCTTTCAAGAAATTATCAAGGAAAACTGCCCTGATATAGTAGAACCAGAGGGCAAAATAGAAATGGAAAGAATCCACAGATCTCCTCCTGAAAGAGATCCCCAAAGGAAAACTCCTAAGAATATTGTAGCCAAATTCCAGAGTTCCCAGGTCAAGGAGAAAATATTACAAGCTGCCAGAAAGAAACAATTCAAGTACTGTGGAAACACAATCAGGATAACACAAGATTTAGCAGCTTCTACATTAAAGGACTGCAGGGCATGGAATATAATATTCCAGAGGGCAAAGGAGATAGGATTACAACCAAGAATCACCTACCCAGCAAAACTGAGTATAATCCTTCAGGGGAAAAAATGGTCATTCAGTGAAATAGAGGACTTTCAAGCATTCTTGATGAAAAGACCAGAGCTGAATAGAAAATTTGACTTTCAAATACAAGACTCAAGTGGAACATGAAGAAGTAAACAGGAAAGAGAAATCATAAGAGACTTATTAAGGTTGAACTGTTTACATTCCTGCATGGAAATATGATATTTATAACTCATGAGACCTTTGTCAGTATTAGGGTAGTTGGAGAAAAAAATTATATGTACATAAAGGTAGACAGACAGATAGATAGACAGATAGATAGGGAGATAGAGGGCACAGGGTTCGGTGAAGATTAAGGGGTCATATCTGGAGAATAAAATTAAGGGACGAGAGAGGATTATACTGGGAGAAGAAGAAAGGGAGAGGCAGAATGGGGTAAATTATCTCACAAAAAAAAAACCAGAAAATTCTCTTACAGTAGAGGGGAAATGGGGGAAGGTGAGAGGGAATGAGTGAATCTTATTCTCATAGGATTTGGCTTAAGGAGGGAATAACATACACATTCAATTGGGTAAGGAAATCTGTCTTACCCTACAGAAAAATGGGGGGGAGGACAAGAGAGCAGGGGGATGATAGAGAGGAGGGCAGATTGGGAAAGGGGGTAACCAGAAGCAAATACTTCTGAGGAGAGACAGGGTCAAAAGAAAGAATAGAATAAATGGGAGGGCAGGATAGGATTAAGGGAAAGAGAGTTAGTTTTTCACAACATGTCTACTATGGACGTGTTTTGCATAACTGCACATGTATAACCTATATTGAGTTGCTTGCCTTTTCAATGAGGGTGGGTGGGGAGGGAGGAAGGTAGATTTGAAACCTAAAGTTTTAAAAACATATGTTTTAAAAAAATATTTTCACATGCAACTGGGATATAAGAAAAACAGTAAATGGGGTACAGAAGTCTATCCTGCCCTACAGGAAAATAGAAGGGGAAGAGGATAAGAGAAAGAGGGGGAGAGACAGAAGAGAGGGCAGACTAGGGGAAGGGATATTCAGAATGCATGCCATTTTGGGGTGGAGGGAGGGGCAAGATGGGGTGAAAATTTGGAACTCAAAATCTTGTGGAAATAAATATTGAAAACTGAAAATAAGTTTATAGTTAAAAAAGAAAATAATAAAAAATAATAAAAAAAAGAAAATCAACCTGGGCTAGATACACAAGATGAACTGAAAAAAAGAGGCAGAGAATGGGGGCAACTAGGTGGCATAGTGGATAGAGCACTGGCCCTGGAGTCAGGAGGACCTGAGTTCAAATCCAGCTTCAGATACTTGACACTTACTAGCTGTGTGATGCTGGGCAAGTCACTTCACCCCACTGCCTAGCAAAAAGAAAAGAAAAAGAGGCAGAGACCAGTTAAAAGGTTATTGCCACACTCTGGCATGAGTTGGTGCCCTGTGGGTCTGAACTAATATAGCAGCTACAGAAATGGAAAGTAAGAGGCAGATAAAACATACATAATATAGTTGAACTGACAGGAATGACTTGATATAGCAGTTTCCTGTCAACTCTACACTATAGCTTTAGTCCAGGAGAAAAGTGTGAATGCATGCCAACCACATGTCCACCTTCACACAGAGGGAGAGGCAGTGTTCCATTCTTTTCTCCAAAGCTCAAGTCTAGAGAACCTGAAAATGATCTTATTCTTTCCTCAATTTTACCCTATCTCATAGAGCCCACCAGGCACCACTGAGCAGGAAAAAGTAATCACTATAAAGTATATCAAAGGGCCCAACACCTATACCTTGACTCCAAGGAGATCCACTTTCAAGTATTTATTGTGTACCTAGTTAACTATGTGCCAGTTACTATAGTACATGCAAGAAAGCAAAAACCACCTCTCTGTCTTCCACAGCTTACAATACAGTTTCAAGTATGAAGCAATTAGAGTAATCTAAGCAATTAACATCCTGAAAATTCTTAATCTATTTGCAGCAATTGTCCAGATACACTTCAATTTAGCATTTCTATTGGAACTCTTTTTAAAAAGGGAAATATTTCTTTCCTTTGCCTCAATATCTAATCACCACTTCATTTCATTAGTGGGAGATAACTCTTTCTTCCCATGGCAGGCCCACTGTGACAAGGCAATTGTTTATTTTCTTAATGTGGCATACCAAATTCTGGGGCATGGCTCTAAAAAATAACCACCGGGGATTGTTGAGGCACAAGGTTTCTGGTATTTTCATGATAATTCACCTGCTTTGTAAATCCAACTCAAATTTAGAGTCTCCAATCAAAGAAGTAGGATGCTTGAAGAATGGGACCGAATCGGTGATTCTCTTGGCCAAAATGGAAGAATCAGGTAAAGATAAGTCTACTATCTTGAGAGTTGGCAGTCCATCTAGAAATGCAGACCAGAATAAAAACTGGTCAGAAAGAGGCCAAACATACCAAGTATATGGGTCTTAGGACAAATATGAAAAGGCCTTGTCAATTCACCTTCACTTTTCTTGGGAGCTCTGGAAATTGGCTGAAGAATTCGAGGATGGCCCCTCTGAAGCCTTCGGACTGTTGCCCAACACTGTGGATGCTGGCAAACAAGGTGTGGACAGGTGGTCTCATCCCATTCACTGACATCTGGCAATCTGATATTTATCACAGATTTACAACAGAAACCAATCTCAAGATCATTAGCCATCTAAGGAAACAAGAATTAAATAAGCTAGGAAATATTACACAATGCCAATAATTATATCTGCATGGCAACATGTAGCCTACACTTAATTTGATTGTGAATACCTATGTCACCTCAAAAAAAAGAAGCATTGGAGGGGTTTAGAAATCTTTAGTGAAATTAAAGAGAAGGGGGCAGCTAGGTGGCAGTGGATAGAGCACTGGCCCTGGATTCAGGAGGACCTGAGTTCAAATGTGACCTCAGACACATAACACTTACTAGCTGTGTGACCCTGGGCAAGTCACTTAACCCCACTGCCTAAAAACAAAAAAAGAAAAAACAAACTAAAGAGAAGTGTCAGCTCCCTACTGCAAACAGCCACCAAACTAATACAATACTGATATAGTGGCAGATAAACAAGGTGTAGAGTGAAAAGAACATTGGATATGTCAGAGGCCTTGGGTTTGAAGGAGTCTACATTTATTAATTATGACCTTGGACAAGCAATTTCTCCTCTTTCCACTTCAGTTTCTTCATATGTAAAATGAAGGGGTCAAATGGGGATCCATAAATTCCCTTCTGATTCTAAATCTTATTATCCTACAAAATGAGTAAAAATATATCATTATCTTGTATTTATATGGCATGTTCTATTTTTCAAGATACTTCCACATATATCATTTCATTTTGCCTCACAACATAAACTTGTTAATATCTATCTATAATGGTGTGTGCTACTAATAATTGTGTATTACTTAAAATATCCAAAATTTACTCCGATGGAAAATTTCTACAGCCAAAGGAAGCAGAAGCCTAGTCCCAAGGTTCTCATAAGAAAGGAGCAAAATTTGGGAGTCAAACAAGCTTAAAGACAAAAGGATTCAGGAACCTTGGGAAGTTCAGAGAAAAAGAGGAGGGCAGCAATGACGGGGAGTGAGCAAATAGAAAGCAGGCCTAAGAGTCAACGGCACCAGGATTCAAATCCCTGCCTCCAATATATAGCGGCTGCAGGACTCTGGGTAACTAAGATTATAAATCGCTGGGAAATTGCAGTTTCGCACTGGGAGAAGGAACTCCCTACACCAATGAAATCACAGGTATGGTCCCAAAAAGGCAAATGGGACAGGTCACAGTGAAACACAAGACAGAAACCAGGGTGGAGTAAGAGGAAGAAGTACGGGACATGGGGTGCTCTGGAGAGGTGGGGGTGAAAGCAGAGAAGAGTGCATGGGGGAGCTCGGGGCACGCGTTAGAGGACGAGGCGTGGACCGGGCACAGGAGAGGAGGGTTGGGACAGGGCTGGGGAGGAATGAGACAGAGGGCAGTAAGGGTCAGGCGGGGGCATAGGGAGGAACAGAACCGCGGAGCGGGAGGTCAGGGCAGGTCACGAAAGCAGAGACCGGGAGTCAAACTTGGGAGTCAGGATGAAGCAACACCCCAGGGTCAGCGAGCACCGCCAAGGGCAAAGGTTGGCGGGGAGGCGCGGAGAACCCCGCCAGGAGGGATGCGGACGCGTGGATCTGAGGGATCCCTGCCCGGGCACTAAGGTGCCCAGAGCTTCCTCAGTGCGGACCTTGCACCCCACCCCCACTGAGACATATGTTAACCCAGCTTCCACTACGTCTGCGCAACAGTGAGAGGAGTAAAGGAGTCTCTAGGCAACTGCGCGCTGCACCCTGGGGGACCACGGGAAGGGCGGGGCTTTCAGGTTTCCAGGCCGGGCCAAGCGGGCCTTGGATTGGCCAAGACGCGTCGGGGGAAGTCGCAAGGCGTGCGTGCACGAGGCCGGCGCCGCTCCCGAAGAGCGTGGAACGCGCTGGGGCGTACGAACGGAAGCCCAGGCAGGACACGCGGTCGGGGGCGGGAAGTACGGACGCCGCAGCGGCGCCCTGGTTGAGAAACGCGACCGGCGTAGGTCCCGGGAGCAACTGCCGCCCTATCTCGGAGGCCGGCGGCGAAGTCGTTGGGGCTCCCCCGGGGGAGACGAGGGCCGAGGTGGCCATGGCGGAAAGGCCAGAGGACCTGAACCTTCCCAACGCCGTCATCACCAGGATCATCAAGGAGGCGGTGAGCGGAGTCGGGCCGGGGCCGGGGGCCGGACTGGGGCCGGGGCCGGGGCCGGGGTCGGAGCTGGAGCTCACCCCACTAATCCCGGTGCCGTCTCCCCTTTGTAGCTCCCCGACGGCGTCAACATCTCCAAAGAGGCCCGAAGCGCCATCTCCCGGGCTGCCAGCGTGTTCGTGCTGTACGCCACGTCCTGGTGAGAGGCTCGGGCCCCAGGAGGGCCCCGGGCGGGTCGCTGGTCGGAGCCCGGCGGGACTGTTTGCCCTTCCTTACCCGGGGCTGTCGGGCCTCTGCTCCCCGCAGCGCCCCCGCCCTGGTGCCCGGAACGTAGCTCACCTAAGTCCCCAGCTCTCCTCAAGCCTCTGGCCGCCTCCTCCAAGAAGCTTTCTCCGCCCTAACTCTAGTTAACCCTTATCAGTTTATTTTTTGGTATTTATGTATCTGTGTACATGTATTTCCACCACAGAAATGTAAGCTCTTTGAGGGCAGGGACGGTTTTCTGTTGGATTTTGTATCCCCAAGAGCTGCTTGGCTTATACATGGAGAGAGAGCCAGAAACCAGGAAGACTTGGGATCAGGTCCAGATTCTGACCCATAGCTTGGGAGTGAGACCCATGACAAGTCACTTAACCTCTAAAACAAGTTTAGAGAAGGAGTGGAAGTTTTCCTGAACTGAGAGTGCCCTATCCCAGTGAAATCATAATAGGTCCAGTGACAGACTCTCTCTTAAGCACTTAGCTCAGTCTTAAGAAATGTAGGTTGACTTGAGTTTGGAGATAATCAAGTAGAGCTTCCTCATTCTCAAGTTGATCTCACAGAGGCTGTGATGAAAAGACTTGTTGAAGGTCCCACAACCAATTAACAGAATTAGGACTTGAACCCAGCTGGCTGTCTTTACTCTTGGTCCAGCTCTGATACTCCCTCCACAATGCCATGCTGCCTCCTCAGGTGAGCTTCACCACCCCTAGTCCTCTGTAGGAGCAAAGTATTACTATCAATGTTGACTGTATTAGAAATTTAAATGTGTTCGTGTTATGAAAATAGTGTTGACATCATGGACTGTCTGAAGTGATCTTAGGGGAGAGCCACTAGTCTGACCTCAAAGGTCAGCTTCTCTTTAGGCTTCAGCTTCTATTTCTATATTTGTAGAATAAGGAGTTGGAAAGATGAAAAGCACATTTGTGATGTAGCCAAGTTCCTTCCACATGGCTTAAAATTGCTGTACCTGGTATCTTTCACACTTTCTTTCCCAGACTAGAGTAATTGGGATTTGTAAGTACAGGTTACATAAAGTTTGAGGCTACAGGTACTCTCCCTAGAAGTGGGTTTGGTCAGGTGATCAGATTTGCTTATACATTCTTGTTAATTGTCTTGGGGTAGGAATTGGTCAAGATAATTCATTTCTCCTTTTTTTTTCTAAGTGCAAACAACTTTGCAATGAAAGGAAAACGGAAGACCCTAAATGCTGGTGATGTGCTATCAGCAATGGAAGAGATGGAATTTCAGCGATTCATTTCACCTTTGAAAGAAGCACTAGATGGTAACAACTCTTGTATTTGGGCCAAGTTAAACTTCTTGGTAAAAATGATGGTCATGTGATTTAACCACATGGACTTAATATAGTATTGAGTATTGGATGTATCTTCATTGGAACCTGTCTTGGATCGAGTAGCCTCTCCACTTTGAAATGGAATAAGCTGTTAGAATAAGATAATTTGGTTCTGTTCATTTAGCCTTGCCTTATGATGGCTTCCTTCTATTTCTAGCATATAGGCGTGAACAGAAAGGTAAGAAGGAAGCTTCAGAGCAAAAAAAGAAGGACAAAGACAAAAGAACAGATTCTGAGGAGCAAGACAAGATCAGGGAAGATGATAATGATGAAGATGATGAAAGAATGGAAGAGGAGGAGCAGAATGAAGAAGAAGAGGTTGACAATTGAGAGGCTGACAATGGAAAGAATGAGTCAGATGATAAGAAACTTGGGGTTCGACACTGTTGCCTCCATTGTACTGTTTGACAGAGAATTCTGTGGCCTTTTCCTCCACTGCTAAGAATGCTGATATATGAGGACCTGGGAATACTTCCTGAATAATCCCCAAACCAGAGTTTTTCTGAATGAGGTCTTTCTCATTTCATTTAACATAATCCGTAAATTGTGACCTTTTGACAAGGTAGGTTATGAATTGCCATTTGATCAAATTTTTATAGGAAAAATGTAGAAAATTCATATATTTCACTTCCTGTTTTATGACCCAAATTTCATGCTATCTATTATTTAGGGGCTGTAGAGGCAGCTGAAAATTGGAGAGGTTTGAACTCCTGTGATAGATTGACTATATAGCTCATTGAAAGAGTAATGGAACCACTCTGGATTTGGGGGGCTGTCCAAAAAGTCTGGGGTTAAAGACCGCAACTTTCATCACTTTGAAAGTAACTTTTGGCAAGGTTCTGCCTTTGGTTTGTAACTGATTAGCTTCTCTTCTTGAGTCTTCCTTCCTGTAGTCTCTTGCTGAGTTTGGAAGTTGGTCCCTATTTGCCACCCCCTACTTAGCACTTTGTTTTGAAGTTTGTACTTCACTATATTGGTGGAGTGTTGGGTCTGATATAAAGCAGGCATTTCACCTCAAAATTCTCTTCCCTTCCCCTGCCTCCTGAACAAAACTTTGAAAGCAGACCTTCTTGTATGTGTAGTCCCTTTACTTTTGATTTTGTAGTGAACCTCACAAGTATTTCATCCTTGTAAGCACTTGGCTTTTTTATGTAACAAATGGCAAGCTCTGAAATTCATTTCCTCCAGGTACAACACAGTCGCTCTCTCCAGACTGTTCTTTGCTTTGCTAACTTGTGACCTGCAATCCAGCTTAATTTAAGAAATGTAATGTTTTCTTCCAATCCCAAAGTTCTGATTCTTGTCTTTTAAAGACAGCTGGATAGAATAACTGTTAATGAAATATAATAATGCTTAGGAATATAATTCTAGTAAACCACTTTTCTAAAGTGGTTTTGGTGGGGGCCTTCATCTTTTGTTAGGTTTCCCCTTCCATTCACTCCCAGGTAGTGTTTAGCTAGAGGGGGCTCCCACAGTGACCACATTCAGTCCCTTTATTAAGAGAGCTACCTTGAGAATTGGGAGTAAAGGTTCTTGCCAACTTCTCCCCCTAGTCCGTCTTAATTTTTTTGGTCTAAAAAATACTAATAGTAACCCCACTCCAAATGGAGTATGACAGGTGAACAAAGTAATCTGCTACCATTTAATCATTAATGGATTATAGGGACAAGTTTGTTGATAAATGAGGGAAGAATCTCATTTCTCTACATTTGGAGGAGGGAAATATAGTGGTTTGTATAAATAAAGAATGTTGTTTAAATTGTTACCTTTTGCTATTCCACGTCTGTTTGTGGTGACTTTTTGGAAAGAACTGACCTCTTTATTGAATCTTCCATATTTTATAATATGGGAACTATGGAAAATGAGTGTTGCAGGCCTGCTGGCAGAGCAGTCCAGTCCGAGGCAGGATCAAGCCAGATTCCCAGCCTCGGTGCCAGAGGTGGCCGATGAACCTGCAGCACCTGGTGGGGGACAGGTGGCTCCTGGAGCCCAGCCAAGATTGAGGAACAGAAGATGATTGAGAAGGCCATGGAGAGCTGTGCCTTCAAGGCCTCCCTGGCCTGTGTCAGGGAATGTGTCTCGGGAGGAGCTTTTGGAGTGTTCACTGCTGGCATTGATACAAATGGTGGGCTTTGACCCAAAGTATCCCTATCAAACACCAACTGCAAGAGAAGTTCTTAAAGATATGGGATAGAGAGAGGAATGTCCTATCTCAAAAATTTTGCCATTGTGGGGGCCATATTTTCCTGTAGCAAGTGTCTGGTAGAATCCTGTCAGGGAAAATCTGACTGGAAGAACAGCGTCCTCAGCAGCTGCATCACTGAAGGAGCCATTGGCTTTAGAGCTGGGTTAAAGGCTGGGGCCGCCGATTGTGGAGGTTTTTCTGCTTCCTTTGCTGTGATTGATTATTACTTACAATGAGAGGAGCTTCTCTTGGGTGAGGAGCCCAGCACCCCATCAGGAGCCATGCAGTGGAGGAGGCCTGTCCTTTAAGGACTTTGCCTGGACCATGAGTGTGAAAGATTCACTAGGTTTGCTTCCCCTCTTTTTGAGTAGTGGGTGACACAAAGCAGACTCTGTTGGGTGCTGCTGCTTCCAGTTTCATGAGCAGCTATACTCAGCTCTTTCCAGGTGCTGGCAGACTGTCTTTCATGGTGATCCTCAGTCCTTCCTGGACTCCACCCAGAAATTTCTAATGAGAAATGCCACAGAATAGCCCCATTGAACAGATCAGGGACATTTTGTTGACTTCAAGGAGTTATGAATCCTGACTGCAACTGTCCAACCTGCCTTTGTTACTGCTAAAATAGACATTCTTTACTATCCTGTGTTGAGATGTGTTGCAAGCAACATATCATAAGGTCCCCTTATTTGAGGGGAGGGGGAGGGCATGGGGGGGGCAAAGTAAAATTTACTTGTTCCTTCGGCCCATTCTGTGTGTGGCTAGGGAATGGTTCCATCCTGTTGGCTACCACCAGGCCATCTTTGCTGTGGAAATTGTATATTTAAATACAGTATGAAAAGACAAAAAAAGAAAATTAGTTTTGCAGCACCCTGGGTGGCCAGTAGGTGTTCCTCAAGTACCAGAAATAGCTCAGCAGTTATGTTCTTTATGATACTGCTTTTGTTGATTAAATATTTTCAAATCTTGAAAATTATTTGAAATTATTACCTCAAAATTCCCTTCCCATTCAGCCCTGTTAATTCTTTCACAAGTATATTCTTTGCCTGCTGGGTCATGTCATGAATGAATATTTGTTAAATGTTGAAAGAACTTGGAGGGGGGAAGGATTGTGTTGTGCCTAACCATGAAAAGACTAAAGGGGAGGGAAAGATAGGATTGCTGGTCTTTAAAGTACCAGAAGGGCTGTTAGGGAAAAGAGAACAAGTTCCTTTTATTAGGCTCCAGAGGGGAGAAGTAGAACCCTGTAAATAGATGTTATAGGAAAGCAAATGGCAGTTCATCATACGAAGGAAGCGCTTTCTAGCAACGCGAGGTCTCCAAAAGATGAGGTTGCTTTGTGGGAAAGTGAGCTGCTGCTTCCTGAAAATATTCAAGAAGAGCCTGGATGACCACCCGAAACTGTGAAGAAGGAGTTGGCTTTTGAGTTTGGTTTTTTTGTTGTTGTTTAGTTAACAAGTATTTTCTCTTCTTCCTCTACTCCTCAGTTTGAAAGAAAAACAAAATCCTTGTTAAAAAATATATATTCTTAATACCTGCCTTCCATGACTGGTGTGAGAATTAAATGAGGTAATATTTGTAAAGTGGTATATAAATGCTAACTATTATTAGTTGTTGTTGTAGTCGAGCAAAACAAATTCCCACATTGTCTGCATCCAAAACCTGTGTGCCTCATTCTGCTTCTTGAATCTATCACTTCAGGTGGTAGGTTCATCATCACTCCTCTGGATTCATAGTTGGTCATCAAATTAATCAGAATTCTTAAGTCTTTCAAAATTGTTGTACAAATTGTACTCCTGGTTTTGTTCACTTTACATCAGTTCATACAAGTCTCCCCAAATTTCTCTGAACCCATCCCTTCAGCATTTCTTAATGGCACTATTGAATTCCTATACCATAATTTGTTCAGTCATTCCCTGACTGATTGGCATCCCCTTGGTTTCCAGTTCTTTGCCACTACAAAAAGAACTACTCCAACAATTTTTGTATGTATGAATCCTTTTCCTCTGATCTCTTTGGGGATAGGCTTAGTAAAGATTATTGCTGAGTCAGAAGGTAAGTGTGCAGTTCAGAGCCTTTTGGGGCAGAGTTCCAAATTGCTTTCCAGAATGGAGGTACCAATTCATAAGTTCATTAATAGTGCATTATTATGGCTGTTTTACTACAGTCCCTTCCAACATTTGTCATCTTTGCCAATGTGATAGTTGTGAGGTGGAACCAAGAACTGCTTCGATTTAATTTTAATTTCTCTATTAGTGACTTGAAGCTTTTTGTTTTTTCAGATAGCTTGGATATAAGAAGTTTCCTCAATTTGCTGAGATGTTGGACTAGCTAACTTCTAAGATTCTATGATTCTTGATGGAGTTCTTGTCCTGTCACACCTGAATTACTGCACTTGCTTCTCAGCTAATTTTCCTTTTAGTCTTCCAATCTGTACAAAAACCATTTGCAATGTGACTTTGTTATGGCAAGTCCAACTCCATTCAGGTATTCAAAGTCCTCCATAAATGTGGCCCAACTTTAGTATCCAGCCATATCCTCTGCTATTCTACATACAGCATTTGCCCCGTTCACTCTGGTCTCATTAAAACACTTGTGTGTCGTTTTCCAATGCCCTTACAACTTCTACCTTGTAAGGGCAGGCCCAAAGACTCCATCCCACTTGTTTCTAGCTCTTCTCTGAACACTTCCTGCATTTGTTTTCTAGTTCACACACTTGTGTTACGTCCTGTCTACAACACTATTGTAAGCAGGCAAGGAACGTCTTCGTCATCTTTTGGCCAGCGCTGTCACACGTGGAAGCTCAGTAACTGCTTGACTTGTGTCCTCTCTTACTGGAGTCATAAGCCTCAACCCTCCCCGTCTCACCAGCCACTCATTGGTTGTCCGGTAGGCGGTTTCGCGTTGGACTTTGATCTCAGTAGGGTAGGGTATCCCCCGCGCGACGACAGTGTCCGCACTCTCATAGGGTGCTCAATTAGCAAAGTAACGGGGCTGCTCAGTCCACGCCCCGCCTGCCCGCTGAGGGTGGAGGGAGGCTGGCCCGGGGCGGAGCCAGCCAGTAGGGGACAGCAGCGGGCCCCGAGGGGGCGGGGCCTGGCCGGGAGAAGCTGCTTCCGGGTGAGCCCGCCCCACCCCCACGTGGGCTTACTTAGAACCGCGGCGGCGAGCTCCCGGTCAGCAGCGCGCTCAGGCTCTCCGCGGCGGCTCCTGGTAAGCAGGGACCTGGGTTACGGGCTGGCACCGAGTGACTGGGCCGGGGAGCCTCCCAGAGGAGCGTGCCCAGCCGCCCCCCACCCTCCGGCCAGACTGGGCAGCCCTCGCTGGAGGGTCGCCTCCCCCATCTCCAGACTGACCATCGCAGCCCCAAGCTTCACGACCCCCGGCCGCGGCCTCTCCTCCGTAGGGTGCGGGGTGGGAGCGGGAGGCATGAAAGAGACATCCGAGTTCGTAAATTGCAGGTTGTTAGAGCTGAAAGACAGCAGGCGGTCCCTCGTGCCTGATTTTACAGAAGAAATAGAGTAAGAGAGGGAAATTGACTTGTCCAAGGTCACACTGTCAGTGAGTAGCAGAGTCTGGTAACCTGGCTCCCTAGAGCCTTATTTCTGCCCCAGGCTTCCTCCACCGATTCCAGTAGAGCCATCCTTCCCCCAGTCGCAGCCTCCTGGATGCAAGTTCCTCCCGGGTCCATGCTAACCCAGGCATGAGCCCTCTGACATGGGCTGGGGAGCCCGCTTTACAAGGTCCCAGGGTTTTTAAACGTCTCTGGTTCAGACCGAGTTCCTTTCCTTTGACTGCTACCGTAATGGTACATCTGTGCTGCTGCCCCTGCGGATATGGAAAGCAAAGTCAGGGCCCAGAGCCAGGGCTGGGGTCACATGGCCTGCCCTTGAGTATACCTTGGAAGCCGGTCCCAAACTAACCGACCAGCCTGAGCCTTTGCCCTGCAAGAACTGACCCTAGGACTTTTTACTTTCTCTCCCAAGTCCCAGGACCCAGCACCAAGATACAAATACCAAGATACAAAAAGTTCTCTACGTCTTCAAGGCTACCAGGGCAAACTGCCAGTCTAGGGTAGTGAGAGTTTAATGCCCCTTTTCTGACTGAGTAATTTGATTTCACCGTCCAGACAGTACCCACTCCCCACTCCTTGGCAAGGAGACTGTATTTTCCAGACTGTAAGCTTAGGGAATTTTTTCTGCTTCTGCCATTGTCTGTTCCTTTAATGTCCCTCTAGGCTTTAGTAGTCTAATGTGATGGTGTTTACAGTTGCTCCCTCCTCCCTTATACCTCTTATAAGCCAGCACCCTTGGTAGTAGTGTCTGCTGAACCTCCTATCTGCTGACTTTGTTGCCCTCTTATTGCCAACCAAGAGAGGGTTCTTCTCTCAACCCTTAAAAAAAAAAGTACAAGTTTCCTGATGTTACATGCGTTCTAGTAGAAGGGGCATTTGAACAGGGAATGGGAGACCTGGATTCTAGTTCTGGCATCACTACTAATTGTGTGACCTTGGGCAAGTCATTTTACTGCCCTGGGCCTCAATTTCCTCTGAAAAAATGGAGTTGGTCTCTTCTAGCTTTAATATTCTAGGATTCTATAATAACTTCTCCATAGTACCTGGATCTTTTTGTCTGGTTCCCTGAATCTGGTTGCTGCTGGTGGCAAGCTGTGATCTCAAACTCCTTCACTGAATCACTGGTGAAATTACAAGATGGGATAGTATTTGACAAGTATACCTGTTTTTGAAGGGTTTGCCCAGCCTTTTACCCCTTTTCTGCCAAAGCTCCCAAAATCTGAAACAACTCCTCCTAGATCTGTTACTCTGCCTAGCATCTGACAGTGCAGAGAAGTCAGGCCTTGTGAAACATTAGCAATTTTGGGTGAAGTTGTGGTAGAAGAGGATGGAGTTGTTGACTCAAATGAGGTGAATAAATTATCTGGGATTTCACTGGTCCAAGACTAGCCCTATCTCTATATAGTGATATGATGGTATCCAAGAAGTGGTTGTTCTTGGGATTGCTTAAGAGATCTTCCTATTGCATGCTAACCTGCACCTACTGAGGATGAGGAACGAGATAGATTGACACTGCTATAAAATGCCCAGCAGAAAGTTGTCTCACAAGAGCTGATATTCAGAAGCCAAAGAATTGGGACCAACGTTAGTTATCTGCTTCCTCTATCATACTGTGGTTCCCTTGCCCCTCAGAAGTGTAAAAAATCATATAAGATGGCAGAGGTCAAGACACCTTCGAAATCCAACCTCTTCATTTTACAGATAAGGAACCTGCGGAGGTCTGTGGAATGTGGGCAGTTGGGCGAGCACAATGTGTAAGCCTGTAGCTCACTTCTGTCCCAGTTGTGGCCTATCCCAATGTGTCTGTGGCCCTAAGATAGGATTTTGGAGAGAGATAGAGGGCTGAGTGTATGTACTGGGTAAGGTGGCAGTATTTGAGGGGGAAAGGATATGGTGTGTGTTGGGGGTGGGAAAGAGAGGTAGTGTGTTAACCCTGGGGTGTGGCAAAAGCCTGAGGCGTTGTGTTTCTAGTGATAACACAACCACCAAACAGGACTGGGCCTTGAAAATTAAGATAAGCCTTCTAGGTTGACTGGGAAAGGAGCCAGAAACTGCCAGGTGCCCAGAGTTCATCGGTAGTAGATTAAACAGCAGCAATACCAATCTACTGGCCACATTGGAATTGTAGGAGACCCAGCTGGGGTAAAGCCTAGAAAACTCAGTTGCCCCTACACTATCACCTCCCTCATCTCTGCCTGCCTGCCTGCTGGAATTCTTGTTATTTATCACCTCAAAATTGATGTGTTTAAAACTGAACCTCTTATCTCTACTGCTCTAGCCCAAAATTGTTACATCGGTCTCTTAATTCATGCCCCTGCTTCCAGTTTCTTCCCTTTTCTAGTCAATACTGTACCTGCTGCCAGATTCAGCTTCCAAAGGCACAGCTCTGATCATCACATAACTCCTTTGCTTCCCTGTTACCTGTGGGATGCAAAGTTTGAGCTTCCCAGCTTAGGCATCAAGGCCCTCTACAGTATTGCTCCTGCTTGCCTTTTTGCGTTGTGTATTTGTCTGTCTCTGTGTCTGTGTATATATACATATATATATGCATATACATTTGTGTCCTTTTTTTCTTCTTAAAATTGTAAGATCCTTGAGAGCAGGAACTATCTGTGAGCCTTCTTTTGTCTTGTAAGAGCCCCTAGCACAGGGCTGGGTATGAGGCGGTCAGTAAATACTTCTTTTCTTGTCTCAAGAACTCCTGCGGAGCCCCAGTCATGCAGCCAGAGTCCTTGCTTCACAGCGGCTACTTCCACCCCCTGTTGAGAAACTGGCAGACAGCAGCCAGTACCTTTGATGCCTCCAATCTCATCTACCCCATCTTTGTCACGTAAGTTCCTGGGAATATGGCCAACTTCAGTCTGTTTGTGGGGTTTGGTAGTGGGAAGAAAGGTCTTGCAGAGGTCAGCTTGCACCAACTGACCCAGTAAGGGCATCTGGCTACTGAAATAGGCTTATCTACCTGCCTCCTCTCTCTCGGGGGAAACTATAAGCCCTCTTTAGGAATTACCTGCTCCTGACCCTCCCTGTTTTACCAGCTTGAGCAAATAACTTCCTCTTTGAGCTTGTGAATCCTTCTCCTGCCCAGCTCACAAATACAATGATTAGCAAATCAAATAGCAAATTAGCAAATACAATGGTTAACAAAGTCCTTTGAAAAATCATAAAGCTTTCACAAAGTCATAAAATCTAATTGTGGGGTGTTATTGTTATTGTTGTGATTGTTGTTACAAATAAGAGATAATGAGCAAGAGGCCAAGTGGTTCTTCAAGCTGACCCTCGTGGGCTACTTGAGTGCTGGTGTGAGCACCGTAGGATGAACATCTGGTCATCGATTATGCTGGGGTTCAGAAAGTCTGTTTTGTTATTTCAACCAGAGATAATTAGGCTATGGAGAGTCCTTTCACACCAGTAAGACATACAAGTAAAACAGAAAGCAAATGTGAGCTGTTGCTAGCCCCAGTACAGGTCACTGGTCTCCTGTTCAGGATACACCCCTATGCCCTGATGGGTGGGTCTACCCAGGGAATCATCTTCTAGATCACAAGATTGTGTCAAGATACTTCATTCTCCATTTTTATATCTACTCAGCTCTTTTCCCCTCATCCCCTACCCATCCTCCCATACCTTACCCCCTCTGCTTCCTCCAGGGACATACCTGATGCTGTGCAACCAATCGACAGCCTTCCTGGCATTGCCAGGTAAGAGAGATGCTCCTGGAAGATCTCTAGGAGAAGGGAAGAGTGACTAGAATTCTGGGTTAGAAATTAGGAGATCTGGGTTCTAATCTAGGCTCACCTACTAACTAGCTGTGTGATCACGGAGGTAAGTCACTTTAAACTCCCTGGTCTTCACTGCCAGATGAGAGTAATTCAATCTGCCCTACCCATTTCGTGGAGTTTTTGTGAGGACTCAGTGAGATAACAGATGTAAAACCACTTTGGGAAGTATGAAATGTAATGTACAGCCCTTCGCCCTATAATATCCTCATATCCTGCACCTTCCACTCCTGCCTTGATCAGACTTTTATTAAACACCTATGCATGCAATACCCTTCACAAGAGAATAACACAGATAGGTCCAACCTCTCTCGCTCTCCAGCCTCAATCTGAAACCCTAAGATAAGGTCCCAAGAAGGATGAGCAAACTGTCTTCCCAAAGTTCAGGCTGCCCTTCCTCCTTCCCCAGGTATGGTGTGAATAAACTGGAAGAGATGCTTAAGCCCTTAGTAGCCAAGGGCCTACAAAGTGTCCTGATCTTTGGGGTACCCAGCAAAGTCACCAAGGTAAGAACATGGGTAGCAAGGTGTGGCTGGGTGAAGAAAGGAGAGGCTAACCCCTCAGGGGAAGAGAAGGACAAGGGGAAGAATGTGTGGTAGGAGTGAGAGTTGAGGACCTGCATGGTGAAGAGGCATGGATAGCGGTGATAAAGCCATCCTCACTCAACCAGGATGAGTTGGGCTCAGGAGCTGACACAGAAGACACCCCAGCCATTCAAGCAATCCGTCTGCTGCGCAAGGTGTTTCCCAGGCTACTGGTGGCCTGTGATGTATGCCTGTGTCCCTACACCTCACACGGTCACTGTGGTGAGTCCTGAGCTCCCCAGACTCTGCTTCTGCTACGCACTCCTCTCCCCACCAGTCCCATCTCTTTCCTCCTGTTCTGCCATCAAGGCTAAGTCCTGGTGAATCCAGGAGTTTTCCTGGGTTGGGAGGCAGAGGGGGATCCCAGAACCTTTCCTGAGTCCCAGCTGGGTGTCCTACAGGGCTCCTGAGGGAGGATGGCTCGTTGCGGGCTGAGGACAGCAGCAGAAGGTTGGCAGAAATTGCTCTAGCCTATGCCAAGGCAGGTAAGTAACCAAATATCACATGGCCCTTGATGGAAGGGAAAGAGAAAACATGTTCTGGGTATTTGAAGGCCTGGTTAGTTCTGGGAGACAAACAGAATACAGAATCTCTTTGTCTACAGAATCAGACATGATTAGAGCTGATGGAAACCTTGGAAAATGTCTAGTTCAATCCCCTCCCATCTTCTAACCCCTCTAGGCTGCCAGGTGGTGGCTCCATCAGACATGATGGATGGGCGAATTGCTGCTATCAAAGAGGCATTGATTACCCATGGGCTGGCAACAAGGTAACGGGGCAGGGGGCTGAGGTAGTGCCCTGGAAGAGGTGGCAAATAAGAGGGAGGTGGCTGCCAGGGACTGAAAGCCAAGCCCCTCCCCAGTCTATGCCTAGAATCTATGGGCTTATCAGCTTATTAGGACATAAAGCTATAAAGTCCTCCTACCACATTTTACAGATGAGGAAACTGACTCAAAAAGGGTAGGTGATTTATCCAAACTCACCAGGGCAGTAATTAGAGCCTGGGGCTCCTGGCTCCAAATTTAGAGCTCTTTTGGCAGAATACTCAGTCCAGACTTTCTCCCAACAGGTATCAGTGATGAGCTATAGTGCCAAGTTTGCTTCTTGTTTCTATGGTCCTTTCCGGTGAGTGGAAATTGGAGGCAATGAGAGGAATTGGCACCAGGCAACCCTGGTATTCCCAGTCTGTGGTAAGACCCCAGGAGCCAGAGGCCAAGTTAGCCCCATCCTGATGACCTGGCTTTTTTCCCACTCCACAGGGATGCAGCACATTCTAGCCCTGCTTTCGGTGACCGACGCTGTTATCAACTGCCTCCTGGGGCTCGGGGCCTGGCCCTTCGAGCTGTGGTGTGTAAATGGGGACAAGCCCCACCCCTCCCTACCCCAACCATTCCTTTATCACCCTCCCCTCCTTCCCTAAGAACCCTGTTGCACCTTCCTCCTTCCCCCAACCACAGGATTTCCTACTGTCTGCCTTGGAAGTGGTTTGGGGGAGGAGCTTTGGAGGTCACATTGTCCATCCCATGTGCCTTAGGATCGAGATGTTCGGGAGGGAGCAGATATCCTGATGGTCAAGCCAGGGTTGCCATACTTGGACATTGTAAGAGAAGTGAAGAACAAGGTGAGTGGAGGACAAAATCAAAAGCAGAACTGTGAGAGAGGGGAGGATTCTGCAGAATTTTTGAATCACAGAATGAGTGGGAAGGTCACATTTAGTCTAATATCCCCTCCTATATCATCTTTGACAGAAGATCATTCAGCTTCTTCTTGGCTACTTCTGGTAACAGGGAACTCACCACCTCATAATAAAGCTAGTCAGTCTTTTATTAGTCCTGAAGTTTGACACATAAAAAAGTCAGGTTGCTCAGACAAGAACAGGGCGGGCCACAGTGTGGGGGAGATGGGAGCATGCTTCCTTAAGGGCACCATCAGCCACTCCCTGTAACTTAGCTCATCCCCTTCTCCAGCACACTGTCCTGCCCCTTGCTGTGTATCACGTTTCTGGGGAGTTCGCCATGCTGTGGCATGGGGCCAAAGCTGGGGCTTTTGACCTCAAGACCGCTGTGATGGAGGCCATGACAGCCTTCCGAAGAGCAGGTACGCAAGGCAGGGATTGGGGGAGGACCCTCCTCCACCGCTTCCGAGACACTGAAATAAAGAGTGAATTAGTACTCTGTCTGCAAACTCTGGTGGGCTGAAGGCTTTGGCTTCAGTTGAGGAAGCAGGCCCACAGTGAGGATATGGATAATGATAGTCACTTAAAATTAAGACTTTAAGGTTCACCGAATGATTTCCTCCCAAGAGCCTTTTATGGTAAATAAGACAAATAATATTCCCACCTTACAATGAGGAAAGTGAGTCTCTACAAGACCAAGGATTTGCCTAGCTTAGATGTGTTGGAGGGAGGGTCAGTCAGTCAGTCTGGCAATGAGTATTCACTGGGTTTGAGCCAGGTCTCCTGACTCAAGGTGAGTCTGTGCCTTCACCCATTTCATCATGTTGACCCTTTAGCCTCTAAAACACATGATGCTTCTCTGGTGGCTGCAAATACTGCGGAAAGGTCCCAGGCAGTGCCCATTGCTCCTGAGGGTGGGCAGAGCATACAGGCCAGCGGGATACCTCCATGCCAGCCATGGTACTGCCACCCCCTTTTCTTTTCCTCTAAATACAGGTGCTGATATCATCATCACCTACTACACACCTCAGCTCTTACAATGGCTAAAGGAGCCATGATGGACAGATAGAGAGTACAAGAACTAAGAATGTTTTTTAAATGAAGAAAAACAAAAAAAAGAAGATAAGCCAGAGGCCTTACAGAAGTGAAAACCAGAGTAAAAGGTGCTTCAAAATTGTCCCTTCTCCCTTCTTCCTGCCCCCGCACCCAGGGCCCCTTGGACCTCCCTTCCTTCATCGCTGGCAGCCCATGGGAAGGCTTGGTGAGCACGCAGAGCCTTGAAGCCCTCAGCACCACTACCCCCTCCTTCTCAAGGCAGCTCTGCTCTTCAAGCCTCCTGCTTTTTGTGGTCTGTCGAGCAGACCCCTCACCTGGAAGCTCCTCTTCTCTGGGTGTTACTGTCACACTTTCTTTTAGAAAACCTCCAGGTTTTATTTAGCTCCTCAAGTGTCCTGACCTACTGAGACCAGGGAGATCCTGCCTTCTACTAGAATCATTTCAAGCCAACAGAAACCATCCAGCAATGAGTAAACAAGGAGCAGGGCCTTAGAAGAGTGACATTGGCATAGCAGAATCTCTGAGAGTGAGGTGACAGTGCTGATACCCAGTAGTGGAAAGAGTATTAGACCTGGAGTTCAACGACCCTCATCTGTGATACTTGTACTGCTTGCCTCCCAGGATCTTTGTGACAAAAGCACTTTCTAAATGCTATGAAAATGTGAATCATTGGTATTACCATTATTATCTCCAGGGCTGAAGCTTAAGTCTAAAGTGAAGGTCTTGGACTGTTGTTGCTTTATGTGAAGGGTCGATTCTGTGATTCTCTTACAGCCCAGTGCTGTTCTCTGTGCCTGGTGTCATTGGTGTGACTGTCCCCTGCCTATAAAAATAAAATGCTAGGAAGCAGGATTATGTTAGACACCAGAGTGAGTTGGTCCTGGTGAGTTGAGGAGGGAAAATCAAATACCACCCTAGTGTGTCAAATTAGTCCAGCGTCCTGTTTTTATCTGTCTGTCTGTAGCTCTGCTGCTTATCTGAGTGAAAATGTGAAAGTTTTCTCCTCTCTGGGCCTGAGTTTCTTCTGTAAAATGAAGGAATTGGATTCGATATCCTCGAGTCTGGAGTCAGGGACCTGTGTTCATATTCTTCTGCTGATGCTTAACATCTCTCTGAGTAAATCCCTTAGCCTCTTTGGGCCTCAGTTTCCTCATCTGTAAAATGAGGGGATTAGATGATTTCTGAGGTCTTCTGCAGCCCCCAAGTGCAGTGGTCCACGAGCTGGCAGATAAGAGCTTTTGCTGACAGACAAAAACAAATTCAGTTCAAATGACTCGGCATCATAGATTTTTTGAAAACTATTTTTGAAAGACCCCAGGGATCATCAGGATGTTAAAATAAAATAAAGTTATATTTTTAAAATCCAGCTTTATTCAGTTCAAGGACAAGTATGATATGTTTCTCAGCTCAAATTTGTTTCAGTTTGATTACATTTTCTGCCCTGGATCAAGCCTCCCATGATCAGCAGATCTGGGGGGAGGGAAGGAATAGGCCTGCATACAGATGGGAGCCCCTTTCTTTATGTTTACACAGTACTTACTGCAGTTGCCTCACAGCAAACTTGTGAAGCAGGTAGTGCAGATGCTGTATTACACCTGTTTTAGAGGAAGAAACTTAAGGCTGAGGGGAAGTAATTTTCCCAGTCACAGAGCCAGTCAGCATTGGAGCTGGGGTGCAAACCTTAGGCTCTTTCCTCTAACTGTTCGTAGACATTATCTCATGAAGTCATTTCCCTTATATAATTTGATGTTCTTGCTCCCATTTATCAGAGGACACCTGGAGTTTGTTGTCTTTTAGGGTCACTTTTTTTTCCTCTTAGTGGAGTGGACTGTACTAAGAACCCAGCTCACTGTCCTACATATTCCAGTAATCGAGTGGCTGAAGTCTAGCATGGTCTGTGGTGGGGAGAGAGAAAAGCATATGGGAGGCTCTGACCCACAGCCTTGGCCATAGCAGTATAATGTTCTGTCCAAGTATTTTACCCAGACTGGATATTTAAACTGAGGGAGGTGGGACATCAGCATAAAAAGATAACCAGCAGTATCAGGGATTGTAGGCTGGCTGCCCAGTGAGGGGTACAGTTCCAAAGTGTTGGAGGATCCAGAGGTTACTTCAGCCTGGGGAGGTTAGGGAAGGCTTCATAGAGAAGACAAGGAATCTAGCCTAATTTTAAAGGACAGGCAAGATTTAGCTGAACCAAGAGGAGGAGAAAGAGGGAAAGCTTCCAACCCATCACTGGTATGAATAAAGGAGGAAAGGAGCAAGGCCTAAAAAGGGAGCTGTGAGTTCAGAAGGGGTGGGGGGGGATTAATGGAAAGAAAAGAGTGGATGGATTCAATGGAATGAGATCAAAGACAGCCTTCAGTATTTGGCTGAGGAGTTTCAACTATTCTTTAAGTAATGGGGAGTCATGGAAGGTTCACAAGCCAAGGATGCTACATGAGATAATGTTTGTAAAGTGCTTTGCCAACTTTGCACTCTGTAAGTGTCACTAATGTTTATGGGAAAGTCTGACAATGGAGGGTTGTGGGAATCCTACCTCTGCAGGGTTGTTGTGAGGCTGTAATGAGATCATGTATAGAAAAACTGCTTTGTAAATCTTAAAAAGTGACATGTAAATGTAAACTTGTCATCATCATTATTGGACAGAAGAGAGCCCAATCAATAAATATGAAGTGCTTACTTCATGCCAGGCACAGTGCTAAGTGCTGAGGATACAAAAAGAAACAAGACAGTCCCTGCTCTCGAGGAACTTACCTTCTAAAGGGGGAGGCAACGTGCAAACAAATCTATGCAAAGCAAGCATATATGATATAAGTAGGAAGTAATTAAATGTGAGACGGCTTCCTGTGGAAAGTGGAATTTTAGTTTAGTTAAAGGAAGCCAGGGAGATCAGCAGTCAGAGCAGAAGAGGGAGAATGTTCCAGGCATGGAGAACAGCCAGAGAAAATGCCTAGAGCTGACAGACGGAGTATCTTGTTCATGGAATGTCCAGGAGGCCAGTGTCACTGGATGGATCCAAGAGTTTCATGTTGGGAAGTGAGGTATAAGAACACTGCAAAGCTAGAAGGGGGCTGGGTTATGGAGGCTTTGAATGCCAAAGAGCATTTTGTGTTTGATCCTGGAGGTGATAGGAAGCTACTGGAGTTTACTGAGGGGAGAGGGAGTGGTGCATGACATGATAAGACCTGTGCTTTTGGAAAATCACTACTGACTGAGTGCAGGATGGATTGGAGTGGGGAGAGACTTGAGGCAGGCAGACCTCTCAGCAGGTAATCCAGGCATGAGGTGAGAGGCATGGGAGCTTTGACTAACACCACTAGTATTTCTCTAGCATTCCCTCCCTAGACCTCCCCACCCTCAGGCCTCTCAGGGTCTGACTCACTCTCAGGATCTTAAATCTACCTCAACGTCTTCCTGACACCTCCGTATCATCCCAGGGAAAGGAAGAACTAGAACAGACCCCAAGAAGGTGCTCCCTCCCCGCCACCCTGCCCCTGCTCACTGGTTGGATATGGGTCTTCACTTCTTTTGCCAAATCTTGCATTTTCCAGCACATTTTGGTAAATGGTTTTACAATGGTGTTTTACCTCATTCCTATTTTGCAGACCAGGACACAAAGGGGTTAAGTGAGTGACCTAAATACCCAGCTCCCTAATGACAGAGCTAGGACTGACTGGAACTTGGGCTTCAAGGTTTCCAGTCCATTCATACTCTTTCCGTTGGCCAACACTGCCTCATTTACAGGGTGAAGTATCTTTAACCCATTTAATTCCTCAAGGAGCTTCCACTCACTGCTACGACCTTTTATCTGGATGCAAAGAACCATTCATGCTCTGTTCTTCAGGTGGTTCCTTGAGTGGAGAAACCATCACCTGGATCCTTGGTGCCCAAGACCAAATACAAGGGTGTAACCGTGAATGGAAGCTCCCTGAGGGTAGATCATTCTCGCTTTTGTCCTTGTATTGTCAGCATCTAGCACAACTTCTGACGCGCAGTTGGAACTTCATAAATCCTTGTCGAATTGGGGGAGGTCAAACATCATCTGTGGCCAAGGACTAAATGTTTTGTTCTGTGGCCACTTGAGGGAGGAATAGGGATTAATTTAGGCCCAAGTGACACTGAGATCTCTCTGACCATGGAGGAATTTATCCTTTTTCTCTAGAATAGTTATTGCAGTGGGTAAAGAACCTGAGATGAAAGCAGGGTGGGGGAAAATCCACTTTCCTTTCCCACCTTTCCCATGTTTGCCTTACCTCAATGAACTCTTCCCCAAGACATCCCTGTCACTCTGCAGGTTGGAGGTCAGATTCCATCTTCCTGTGCCTTCCTCCATGAAGTGTAGGAATTAGGACCTGCTCAAGAGTCTTCCTTGGAGTTTATCCAGTTGGCCCAAAGGATCAAATCACTGAACCAAAAACTTCCCACTTTCACCATGCTTTAGAGAAAAATGTTGCGATTTCATCAGTGTTCCTACTCCTTCCAAAAATACAAACAGCAGCCCACCCTGTGCTGCTCTTGTCTTTGTCCTCCTATGACTCAACCACAGGCCATCAGCCCCTTCAATGTGTTAGTGGCCTACCTTCAGGTTTGGATTTGACCATTGCATGGATACCAATGGAGTGCACAGGCTGTCTCACACTTACTGTGTGACCAATGTATATATTTTTGCTCCTGTCATTCAGCTCTCTGGTATCATCCTTGCTTTTCCTGTGCTTCTCATTTGTAGCATATTGTCTGCTCCAGCCCACCCCTCACCATTTCCATTTTGTTTATTCTCAGCTGTTTTTTTTTATTCTCCTATTCTGTGACTTGCAGCTGTACATTACCAGAATATTTTTTAAATGAAAAAATTATACTTCAATTTGCACTTAGAGTTCCATCTCTGGAGGTGGATAGCATTTTTCTATCATGAGTCCTTTGAAATTGTCTTGGATCATTGTATTGATCAGAATAGCTAAGTCATTCACAGTTTGATCATCATTACAATTTTGCTGTGACTGTTTACAGAGATTTGATTCTGTTTGCTACACTCTTCATCAATTCATACAGGTCTTCCCAGGTTTTTCTAAAACCAACCTGCTAATTTCTTATAGCACAAGAGTGTTCCATCACAATCATATACCATAAGTTGTTCAGCCGTTCCCCAATTGATTGGTCACTGTTGGGGCTTTGATTGACTCAGAATGAGTGTAAATAACAACTGTTTCTGGTTTGGCCAGAAACCCTGAGGGTTTTCCCCTCCCAGATCTATTTTTTTTTAAAAAAGACCATTCTTAGCCTCATTTTATTAAACCTTAATCACTGAATGGGCACTGCCTCAAACTGAGATCTGTTAAAAACCTTAGCTGGAAAAGGCCAAGGTCCCCCACTGCATCCTGGACCACCTCCAGTCGTCCTCATCCATATTTGGCCACTGGACCCAAATGGCTCCAGAGGAGAAAGTGAGGCTAGTGACTTTGCAAAGCCCTCCCTCACTTAAATCCAATTCACTTGCATCTCATGGTCCTCTTTGAGAATGAAGGACAAAAAGCAGCAACAGCAGCAAGCTATGCTCCTTGCCCTCCTGGGGCTTCAAGTCTAACAGAAGAGGCCAGGCAAATGAAAAAATAATAACGGGAAATCTCAGGGTTGCAGGAACTGGGAAGAAGGAGAGGTATGTGTTTCAGGTATCAGCCAAGAAATACTGAGTATCTGGTAGCCAGCTCCATGTTGTGAGGACACATAAGTGTAACAGTCAAGGAGCTTACAGTCTAGCTGGGGTGAAGGACACATGCACACAAATCATTAAAGAGGGAAGACAATGTGTTAAGTTGTGGGCAGCACATTAAGAATCATGAGAGACCAGAGCCAGAGCTGGAGTTGGAATAGTCAAGGAAGGCTTCATAGAGTCAGTTAACATTTAAGGTGAGTCCTGGAGGATACGTAAGATTCAGCGAGGGGAAGAGCCTCTAGGTAAAAGGGACAGAGGTCTAAGTTGGTAAAGCAGAAGACTATGAAATAAGGTGGGGCCAAATCATGGAAAGTCTTGAAAAGGACAGCAGAATTTGTCCCAAGTGACATAGGACGAGGAAAGTCATTGGAAGCCTTTGAGCAAAAGAGAGGTAGACCGGAAGACTAGTCTGGCAGCAGGTGCATTAGGTGGCCAGGGAGGAGGGGAGCTGGAGCAAGTCAAGTTAAGGTTCTATTAAAAACATTCCATGCAAATAAAACCTCTGCCCTCAGGAACCAAAAAAGAATTTTGGCACTACCCACCTATCACTAACCTTATAATTAGAAGTTTTGAATCTTCTTCAAGGTCATCAAGTGAAAGAATAAATTAACTGTGATGAAAAGTAAACCCTGTTAGTGAACTGACTTCCTCCTCAACTGATCATATTCTGCGTATGCTTTTATATTTACACGTTGTATTACACACACACACACACACACACACTAACATATACATATATATGCACCCTATACATCACTAGAACCCTGTACATGACTAGAATTTACACTTCTTAAGGTCAACGGGCCATTTTTGGTTTTGTCTTTGTACCCTCAATGCCTAGCCCAGGGCCTAGCACTTCACAACAGTAAGAACAAGAACAATTATTTATGGAAGGTTCTCAAAGCACTTTACAGGAATTATGTCATTTGATCCCCACAACAACCCTGGAGGTAAGTGACAGTTATTCATTTTACATCTGACACAAGTATAGGCTGTGTAAACACTTGATGGGTAGCTCATCGTACACTTAGAACACTGCAGCAATATAAGCAGCCCACATCAAGTTGGGCACCACCTTCTGTAAGCCCACAGAAAAAGAATAGTGTCTTTCCATTATTTAAGCAGTAAGAGAATATAACATATATTTTTCCCACCAGATGGCATTCTCCTCAAGCCACCAGACCAGTGGTCTCATCAAGGTCTCTCTGACACATAAGCAGAGATAGTCTCCATTTCCCCTGTAAAGAACTCACTCTGAAAAAAAAAGGGGGGGTGGTACAGTGAGGGGGCAAAATGGATAGAGCACTGGCCTAAGAGTCAGGAAGACCTGAGTTCAAATCCAGCCTCAGACACTTGACACACTAGCTGTGGCAAGTCACTTAACCCCATTGCCTAGCAAAAAAAAAAAAAAAACTCACTCTGCCATGCCAAAAGGCTTGAAACAAGTGGCCAAGGATAAAAAAAAAAACCCTCAATGATAAGCTTCTGAACTTTAGCCTTGGGGGCTAAAATAGCATTCAGGATTATGAAGTGGAAAAATCTGTATAGCTCTAAAAACTCTAGCTCATGGTTGGTAAATTTCCTGACTGGCCCTATATTACACAAGTAATAAATTTTCTGTAGCCACGTAGTTTATTTGACATAAAGATGTAAGGAGAAAATTTCAGAGCTATATATGCATTCTGTCCAACTATATCCCAGCCTTTCTTCCCAGCTCAAGGAAAGGGGACAAAGGGATTGGTGTTGGTGTCCAGGGCTCAGGTCCAGATTCTAGACTAGAACAGTAAAAGGAAGGGAGAAACTGGGTGAGGGGTTGGGGAAAGTTGCAGAAAGTGGATCTATGTCCCGGATTTCTCTTATGATGAGGTTTTTGGAAACTACATGTCTCAGCGCTCTAGTACAAATTCACTCCTTCACACTGGTTACCAACTGGTGGCTCTATGGGCCCCCTGGTCCCTGCTCTAGCTCCTACCGCAAATTCAGCTCTCGCACCACCACGCCCAGCTTGAGTCCCAGGAGCAGCATTCATAGCCACTACAACTTTCTTCCTCCCTGTCCCCCCCACCTTTAACTTCACCCTCTACCAAATTCTCTATCTTAAGGGCAAAATGGCAAGAGATCTAGCAGCATCTGTCTCTGCTGCATTTGCTGAAATGAATGGCCAATAGGAAGTCTATCTCAAGGTCAAAGGGAGGAAGATGAGATCTCATTCCCCTTCTCCTACAGTTTAGCTTCATGCATTTATCAGCATGCCCTCCTGGGGAGGAAGGACATGACAATCTCCAGTGGTCTGTCAGTCCTTCCCTCTGTGTTCTCTAATCATTTTCACCCTGGGCTCTGAGATAAAATAATTTAGAAGTGATAAAGGAGGCCCAGTCTGGGCATCAGTAACATACAAATGAGCTAAGTGATGCTGCAAGAAGTACCTCCTAACTTGCCCAAGATCACACAGCTTGAACACAGATCTTCTCCAGTAGATGATAAATGACTACTTGGTGGATTGGATTGAATTCTGATACCATCAAATCACAAAAGTTGATCTTTTTATCACAAGTGGGAAAGAAGGGCTTTCTTTTCTACTTCCTGAAAAAATCAGGATAAATCAAGAACAGGGCAAAAGTCCTGAAATTAAGGAAAACTACATGGGGAAGGAGGGGCAGGAAGGGAACCAATCATCTGTTCAACATGACAACATGCTGGACATTTTCCAGAGGAACTTAATTCAAAAAAAAAAACAAACAAAAAAGAAAAAGGGGCAGCTAGGTGGCGCAGTGGATAGAGCACTGGCCCTGGATTCAGGAGGACCTGAGTTCAAATGTGACCTCAGACACATAACACTTACTAGCTGTGTGACCCTGGCAAGTCACTTAACCCCATTGCCTAGTTAAAAAAACACAGACAAAGAGGAACTTAATTCATCACTTCCCTAATCAGAGAACACTGGGGCAGAAAATGCCCAGGCCCAGAAGCCCAAGTGGGCTTATTTACTTATTCCATTTACTTCTAGTCTGAGTTAAGATCTTTGTGCAAGAATGGGCCTATTTGACAGTCACTGCCCTGGGCTCTATCGCTTACTTACCTTTGTGACCTGGAGCCAAGTCATGTTCTCACTTGGAACCTGTTTCTTCATTTCTAAAATTAAGGAGTTGGACTAGATGACTTCTAAATTGTTTCACTGGTTTCTTTCTTCCTTCCTTCCTTTCCTTCTTTCTTTTTTACAGGATCTATGGTTTCATCAGTGTAGGGAATTGTGAGAAAACTTCCATCACTAATGCAAATCAGCAACTGTTGTGCAATTTGTAATCTCAGAGAGATTCTAAGACATTGAGAAATTAAATGACCTGCTCAGAGTTACACAGCCAGTCTGTGTCAGAAGCTGAATTTGAACCCATGTCTCCACCCCTTCCTTTCTCCTCACTCCAAGGCATCCACTATACATCATTGTCTGTTTTATTCAGGTCAATTTATTTATTATTCTATTGCTTTTTAAAAAGTCAAATTGACTTTCTGTGTCAGGATGAGGCAAACTGATGGGGCCTGTGACAAGTAAACAGCCTTGATCCCATCTAATTTAATACAATTCCATTCAACATTTAAGCCCCTATCAGGCACTAAATAGTCTCTGCCTTCAAGTAAGTCATTATGCAACTTCAGGAAGGGGGAAAGAAGGAATATAACATATGTAAAACTAAATACAGTGCAAAGAAAACTGATGAGAGAATGATAGCAACTGCAGGAATCAGAATTGGGTTGTGCAAATAATGCATACAGATAGAATATGAGTATTGAGTTTGATGACGTTTTGTTTTTCAGTCATGTCCAACTCTTCATGACCCCTTTGGGGGTTTTCTTGGCAAAGATGCTGGAATGGTTTGCCATTTCCTTCTCTAGCTCATTTTACGGATGAGGAAACTGAGGAAAACAGGGCTAAGTGATTTGCCCAGGGTCACACAGCTAGTAAGTGTCTGAAGCCAGATTTTAATTTGGGGACAGGAGTCTTCCTGACTCCAGGGCCTGCCCTCTATCCACTGTGCTACCTAGCTTCCCTATATTGAGTTTAAGGAACAGCTAATAGTCTAGTTTGACTGAAACAGAGTTTATGAAGGGGAACAGTATAAAATAAGTATAAAGAGATGAGTGGGAACTAGAATGAGAAGAGACCAAAATGCCAGTCTAAGTTTATATTTAATTCTCAAGGCAATAGGTTTGGGTTTTGTTTTGTTGTTGTTGTTGTTGTTTTAAACCGAGGAATGGTAGGTAAAATTCAAGTGGTGCAGTAGATAGAGCACCCAGCCTGGAGTCAGGAATACCTGAGTTCAAATCTGGTATCTGACACTTATTTGCTATATAACCTAAGGCAATTTTTTGCTATGTAACCCCTATTTGCCTCAGTTTCCTCATATGTAAAATGGAGTGATAATAATAGCACCTACCCCCTAGAGTTGTTGGGGGCAGCTAGGTGTTGCAGTAGATAAAGCACCAGGCCTGAAGTCAGAAAGACTCATCTTTCTGAGTTCAAATTTGGCCTCAGACACTCACTAACTGGAGAAAGCACTTAACTGCCAGCTGTCTCAGTTTCTTTATCTGTAAAATGGCTATAATAATAGTACCTGACTCCAAGGCTGGTTGCAAGGATCAAATGAGATCATATTTGTAAATGCTTTGTAAACCTTAAATCACTATTATACAAACACTGGCTATTATTATTAACAGAAAAAGAAAAATTAAGATAAGGAGCTTATCAGGATTGCATTATCAGCCTTTAGAAGAACAAGAAAATCCAATTAGGGATAGTTTCTTGTTTTTTTCTCACTAGAAAGGAAGTTAAAATGAAAATAAAGTGGAATCTATGATGTTGTAATAGCTGGATGACCTTGAATAAGGTCTAGGAGCTGCTATGGCACATTAGGAAAAATACTAACTCTAGTCTCAGCAAGCCTAGGTTTATTCTGCTTAATATCTGCATGACCTGAGGCAAGTCACTCCCTCAATGGGCCTCAGTTTCCTCCTCTGTAAAATGGGGAGGCCTGATTCAGTTGCCTCAAACGTCTGCTGTAGATCTAGGCTCCTTCCACTCTGCAGGGCCTCCCTCTGGACCCGATAATCTCGGACATTCTATCAAATGCTTATCTTTCGTTCGCTTCTGGCTTATCTTTTCTAAACATTTGTGGCCCCAACCCCCAATCCTTCCCACACCCACTTCTGAGAAACTGACATTCTTACACAAAACCTGTTCTGCAGGGTTGCCTTCTCCAAGTTCTTGAGATCGCATTACCTCCTCTTAATACCCTTGTGACGGAGCAGTTTTTTAATCTTACAAGTTTGGGGGGACAGCGGGGATTATGTTTAGAAAAGCCAAGAATAGACCGGTCCTTGAAGCTTCTGAGGAAGTCGTTCTTGGCAATTATTTTCTCAGCACGTCAGGCTGTCGGAGCAGGGAGGGACCTTGGAGAGCAGCCAGCCTTTCCATTTTACAGAGAGGTACAGCAGGATCAAAGAGAGAGTTGTCCATGGTCTCACAACCAGTTAGTAACGGAGACAAGATTATACCTCAGGACTTCTGAGCCCTTTATTCAAGGCTATTTGCAAAACCAGGTTCCGTCCATCAGGAAATCTGCGCTTCAGGTCGTCGGTGCGACTTCAAATCCCAACCCGGTTGTTCACTATTTATTTGACTTGGGGAAAATCACGTTGCTTCGCTGGGCTTCAGTTTTCTTATCTGTGAGCCGAGGTCTCTTCCAGCTCCCAATCTTAAGAGTTCTGAGCCATACTTGCCATCCTCTGGAACAGCCAGGAGCCCTTGCCCGCTGGCCAGTTTTCTCCCATGTATAGTGCAGTAGCACCGGCGAAAAGGGTAGTGGAAGCAAAGTAGGTACCGAGCCTCCTCTGGGAAGAAAATGGGATGCACCAGCTCCCTCCCCCGTTGCTGCCTTGGGGGCCACAGCCAGGACTGCCGCAAGCGCAGGCCGAGAGAGCTCTCCCGTCGCAGGCCCGCACGCGATGAGCGCGCGGGGGAGGGGGGAAGCACAGAGGCCCCACTCAGCCCCTAGGGAGCTCACAACCGAGCGCGTAATTTACAACGCCCTCCGCCACTCTCCGGGGTGGCAAGCAGCTCCAGTCCCTGAACGAACAGTGCTGCTTCTTCGTGGCCGTAGCCAGAATTGCACCCCACTGCTCGCTTCGCGCTTCACCTCCCCACTTCTCCCACCTAACCTGCCTGTTTTGGTACCTGCGCAGACTGCAGAGCACCAATCCGGAGCCCCTCTTATTTGAAGACTCACCTCTCCCAAAGGAAGTTACTATTTACACTTCAGGAGGGGATGTCCTTTGCGATAGAAAGATGCAGAAGGATGTGTTGGAAACCACACAACTTTAACTCACTGTCAAGCAACGTAGGTTACATCGTCTGGGGAATATCTGGTTCTGTTCACCGAAAGTTTGGGTGTTTGGGGTGACATCCTGAACAGGGGATTAAAGGATGATTAAGAATTGTTCTTTCCTCCTCCCCAGGCCGCAGCCCCTTGACTACCCTCCTCTTTTACCCTCTATTAAGGCTTATCATACACACTACCCCTGAAGAAACCTGGAGAGGGGAGAGCCTGGGGATGGGGGGAAGAGGGAAATTAGGCAGGAGGGAAAAGGAGCATGTGGACAATTTGTAAAACAATAGGACTGAATTATCACAAATAATACTTTAAAAGAGTAATAGCTGCTTCTAATAGTATGAATGCTTACTCTCTTTAAAAAGATTGCAGCCAGATTGTGAAATGCTCTAACTGCTTAGCTGAGGAGTCTCTACTTCTTATACCAGAATCAGCAGAGTCCCCGGAACTTTTTGAGCAAGGTCAAACATGCCATAGAAAGATTCCTTTGATGGTAGTATCAGAGCTCTAGAACTGAAAGGGACTTGGGAGGCCTCTTCTTTTTACAGAGGCCCAGGGTAGTTGTTAGTTGCCAAAGAAACCCGGGTACTCTCAATGCAGAGTTAGTGCTTTTCTCCACTAGGTCAGAGTATGTGGATTTAAGAGGGAAGAGGTTGGAAGCAGGGAGACTAATTAGGATCCTATCATAACAGTCCAGGCAAGAGAAAGACCAAGATAGATACCACATAATAATGGCTAGCGTTTCTCTAGTACTTTTAGATTTGCAAAATGCTTTCCATATGTTATCTTATTTGCTCCTTGCTACCAGTCTGTGAAGTAGGAGTTATTATTATACCTATTTGGCAGGGTCATAGAGCTGGTAAGTAAGATTGAGTTAGGATTTGAACTCAAGTCTAGCAGGCTACCAACCTTCCAGCTACCATGCTTGCTTTGCTCTTCATATACATCTATAGGTTCTGAATCTGAGAGTCCTCTAAACTCAATCCCTAATTAGATCTGAGATTGTCTCAGCTTTCCAGGTCCAACAAGGAATAGGTCCCAGGAATAAACACTAGGGCAAGAGCCTTGGTGTTCACCTGAGTACTCCATATTCATACAGGTCAGAGGCATTTTTTTTTCAGATGGCTTTGTAAAGGGCAGTAACATTATCACAGAGCTTTGCATTTAGCCAGAGATGAGGTGGATTCAGCTGAGTGATACCTGCTCTCGCTCTCTGTGGCATCCCTTGTGTTAGCTGATTCTTCCCTATCCTTGGGATAGGAAGGGTAAGGAAATAAGAAGGGTGACACACTTCTCCTATGGAGAGAAGGAAATTCTTCTACATTACATTTGGAAGGGAAAAACCCAGAGCTTACCCATAGCAACACCTTCCCTGGCAATACTCACAGCTGGCCTGTTTAGCCAGTGTCAGGCACTCCTCACATCCTGACTCAGTGATGAATCGTGCTCTCGTCTCTCAGAGGAAAGCCCCTTCTCAGCCCCTCAACCTCCCTCCATTTCTGTTCCTCTGGTTCCAGGTCTTTTTGCCCTTGGCCCTACCCACGAAGCCTTCTAGCTTACTTGCTGGGGATGGGGCATGGGGAGGTAATAGAGCAAACCAAGAACACTCCTTTCTCGTGTATTTCACAAAGCCAACCTGGGTGAGCCATGCCAATCTAGAAAAGGTCATAATTAAACAAAGTATAAACTGATACCAACTTACAAAACTAGTATGTAAATAACTCCTGAAAAAATGGGAGTTGATTACTCCTATCTCCCATGCCCAAAGGAGCAAACATAATCCCTTGAGGTCCTTTAAGTAACATATATCTGGGTCCCATGGGAGTGAATCTGACATACTTTAGCCTGGTCTGATGATCTTGTCTAGGAACGTTATGGGGAAAAGAGCATTCTCTCACAAATATAAAGAGTATCTCCTTGACCAGGGTCTTGGGAGCAAGTCAGAATCAAAAGAGGAGAGATAAGTAGTTTATTTTAGAACTATTGACCTTCCCTACCTTATCCTGTTTACATTTTAAGGCTTCTAGGACATCACCAGGAGAAGGTGGGTGTGAATATTAGAAGGGGATAGGGGAAGAGAACAACTATTTATTAAGTGCCTACCGTGTGCCAAGCACTTTACTAATATTATCTTATTTATCCTCACAACATCCCTGTAGGTAAGTGCTGTTATTATCCCCATTTTACCATTGAGGAAACTGAGGCACATAGTGATTAAGTGATTTTCCCGGTAAGTGTCTAAGGCTGGCTTTGAATTGTCTCTCTGACTCCAGGACCACCATTTCACCAGTATCTACCAAGTCATGGGTGATCCAAAGAGCCATGGCGAATCACAACACATGAAGGGCCCAGGAAAGCTGCACCATATTTCTATCAGTGAAATGCAACCAAGAAATTCAGTTTAACAAACATTTATTAAGCACCTACTGTTCAAGGCACTGGGGATATTAATATAAAAATGAAACAATATATCCCCACCACCTAATCCCCTGCCCAAGGAACTCACACTCTACTGGAGGGATATGACAATAATATAAATATCAAACAAGAAAATTTGAGAAGGAAGAGAGTGCTTCTTACTAGGGAGGTCAGGCAGGCAAGGCTTCACAGAAGAGGCAGCACCTGACAGAGGTCTTGTTTGTCAATAGCAGAGAGAAACTCATTTAAAATGGAAGTGAGCCAGTCATGTAGCAAAAGTGAAGGGCGGACATTGGGCCCAAGAGCTGGGCCAGCACTCACAAAATGTATAACGACCTAAAAAGAGGACTTCAGCATGTGGGAGAGCTCTTCTGTGCAGGGTATACAGAAGAACAGGAACACAGGGGCAGGTAGGTGGCACAGTGGATAGAGCACTGGCCCTGGAGTCAGGAGGATCTGGGTTCAAATCCAACCTCAGACACATAACACTCACTAGCTGTGAGACTGGGCAAGTCACTTAACTCCAATTGCCTCAAAAAAAAAAAAAAGAACAGGAACACATATCACACAGGATGAGAAAGGATGGGTGGATGGATCTCAATTCCAACTAATGGAGGTAATACCATTATGGATGAAATCACAGAACTAGGTGTAATAGTTACAATAATTACATGTTATGACATATTATATTAAATATACTTCTTATAGATAATAACTATAATAATTAAAACTGCCCTGTGTTTAATTCTATATTCCATTCTGAAAATGGATTATGTGACTACAAAAACAATAAACTAAACTTCACGGGCAATTAGGTGGTGCTATGGATGGAGTCCTCCAGAAGCCCTGTGTTCAAATGCAGCCTCAGATACATACTAGCAGTGTGACCCTGAGCGAATTACTCTCTGTCTCATTTTCTGTCTCATTTTCCCCATTGGTAAAATGGGGATAGTAATAATAACACTTTCCTCTCAGGGTTATTGTGAGGATCAAGTGAAATAATATTTATGAAGCAATTTATAAACCTAAAAGCACCAAATAAACATGAGCTATTATTGTATTATTATTATTTTAGTTCAAAAATGAGAAGTACTTCCTTGGGCTATTTTCAAGTAATTTGGGTTTACATTGAAGAAGCACACTGCCCTTTGCTCCCTCTGAAAGCCACCATGACCAGTATTCCTTTTTGCCTTGGGATGTTGACCAGCTGGTCTGGTTTCTAAGTTTTTGGCCTTGATGGTATTTTCAATATTTGCCATGCAATGAAACAGTGATGATTATAGTATTCTTATTATTTGACTTTAAAGAGAATGAGGAATTAGAATCATTAAGTCAATTAATCAATGAAGTACCTGTGTCAAGCTCTGGGGGAAGGTAGTGGGGGGAAATACACATATACACACACACACACACACACACACACACACACATATATATATATATATATATATATATATATACATATATATATATATATATATAGTACCTTCTATGTGCCACGCACTATGCTAAAAGTTTTTTACAAATATTATCTCATTTGATCCTTACAACAATCCTTTGAGATAGCTTCTGTTATTATCCCCATTTTTCAGTTGAGGAAACTGGCAAAGTTTAAGTGATTTGTCCTAGGATGCTAAAAATGTTTCTGGAGAATGTAAATAAAGAACTGAATGGGAAAAAAAATAATTTTTTAAAATTTTAAGTGACTTGTCCCAGATCACACAGCTGGTAAGTGTCTCAGGTTGGATTTTAATTCACATCTTCCTGATTCCAAGACCATCACTAGATCCACTTCAAGCCACCCTGGGGATAGAGGTATAAAAGTAAGAAACCCCTGTCCTCAAGAATTATAATTTCTACTGGGGCAGAGGTTCTTAACTTGAGACCATGAACTTGTAAAAAATATTTTGATAACCATATTTAACATATTGATTTCCTTTGTAATCCTGTTTATTTTCTTTTATTCATTTGAAAACACCATTCTGAAAAGGGGTCCTCCATATCCCTTGAACACAAAAATAGGTTGTAATTTGTAATTTTGTATCCATGAGACAAAAAAGTCAAGAACTTCTGGACAAGGGGGATTCAACAGACTCATAGATGAGTAAATACAAGAGATACATATACACATGGTATGGGAAGAGAGATGCTGATGACAGCAGGAATAAAGTAAGACTTTAAACAAGGTCTGTAACAAATTGCTCTCCTGCTGAAGTTTCCTTCTTTCTATAAAGTCTTTGGAAGCAGGTAATACTGGAAGAGAGGAGAGGAAATTGGGAGTGGAGGGGGGAAAGAGAGAGGTTGTCAAAAGTGGCTGAGGCTAGTGGATTTCTTGAACTCCAGTGTTCTGAGCTGCAGTGGGTTAAGTCAATTGGTGTTCTGCTCATCAACATGGGGAGGAGAATAGGGGCCACCATGTTGCCTGAGGAGGTGAAAACCAGTTCAGGTCAGAATCAGAACAAACCAGAGTCCATTCTGATCCCTAGTGGGGTCTGGCAATGAGTAACTATTGCCTTCTAGCCTGGGAAAGATAGGGAGAACCAATCTTTGAAAATAAATAAAGCAGAAATTTTCAAAGAAACTTGAGATGAGCAAATTTAGAGACATTTCCATTCCAAATGTTCATATGGATTATTTGTACCCTATCTCTTGTAGAGCCTTCCAGGCTCATATCCTGATCGGCCACTGTTGAACACACTGTACCTTGACCCTGACATAGTGTTGTCATTTTTAGTCTTCTTAAAGCACAAAAGACAACAACCAACCAACCAGCCACTACTGGACCCATACACCAGAGATTCTCAGATTTAAAAAAATAGGAAAATTACTCAAATGTGCAAAAATACTTATAGCAGTTTTTTTGGTAGTGGCAAA